TTTGAAGAGTATTGGTATTAGCTCTTCCTTGAAATTTTGGTAGAATTCTGCACTGAAACCATCTGGCCCTGGCCTTTTTTTTGGTTGGAAGACTTTTTATGGCTGCTTCTATTTCTTTCGGGGATATAGATGTGTTCTTAAATTGTTTATCTCTTCTTGATTTAATTTTGTTAAGTGATATCTATCCAGAAAATCCTCCATTTCCTTTAAAATTTCCAATTTAGTGGAGTACAGGCTTTCAAAGTATGACCTGATGCTCCTTTGGATTTCCCCAGTGTCTGTTGTTATGTCCCCCTTTTCATTTCTGATTTTGTTAATTAGCATGTTCTCTCTCTGTCTTTTAGTTAGGTTTGATAAAGATGTGTCTATCTTGTTGATTTTCTCAAAGAACCAACTCTTTGTTCATTGATTCTTTGTATTGTTTTCTTGGTTTCTACTTTATTGATTTCAGCTTCCAATTTGTTTATTTCCTAGCATGTACTCCTCCTGGGTGAATTTGCTTCTTCTTGTTCTAGAGCCTTCAGGTGTTCTGTTAATTCTCTAGTGTGGCAATTCTCCAGTTTCTTCATGTGGGCACTTAGTGTTATGAATTTTCCTCTTAGAACTGCTTTCAAAGTATCCCGAAGGTTTGGGTATGTTGTGCCTTCATTTTCATTGAATTCCAGGAAGTCTTTAATTTCTTTCTTTCTTTACCCAGGGGTGATGCAATTAAGCATTGTTCAATTTCTATGAGTTTGTGAGGTTTCTGCAATTTGTGTTGATGTTGAATTCTAATTTTAAGCCGTGGTGGTCTGACAGGATACAGGGGGTTGTTATTCTAATTTTTTTGTATCTGTTGAGGTTTGCTTTACTGCCAAGTATGTGGTCGATTTTAGAGAAGGTTCCATGTGGTGCTGAGAAGAAGGTATATTCTTTTTTGTTTGGGTGGAATGTTCTATAGATGTCTGTTAAACCCAATTGGGTTATAACTTCTGTTAGTTCCATTGTTTCTTTGTTAAGTTTCTGTCTGGCGGACCTGTTCGGTGGTGTGAGTGGGGTGTTGAAGTCTCCCACTATAAGTGTGTAGGGTTTAATGTGTGATTTGAGTTCTAGTAATGTTTCTTTATGAACGTGGATGGTTTTGTATTTGGGGCATAGATGTTCAGAATTGAGACTTCTTCCTGATGAATTTTTTCTATGATGAGTATGAAATGACCTTCTTCATCTCTTTTGATTAATTTTAGTTTGGAGTCTCTTTTGTTAGATATTAGGATAGCTACACCTGCTTGCTTCTTACGTCCATTTGATTGGAAAGTCATTTCCCAACCCTTAACCTTGAGGTAGTATCTGTCTTTGAAATTGAGGTGTGTTTCTTGTATGCATCAGAAGGATGGATTCTGCCTTCGTATCCATTCTGTTAGCCTGTGTCTTTTTATAGGTGAGTTAAGACCATTGATATTCAGGGATATTAATGACCATTGATTGTTGAATCTTGTTTGCTTTGGATCATTTTTTGATGGTGGTTTTATGTGTAGTTTTTCTCCTATTTCTGATTTCTGGTAAAGTTAGATTATCTATTGCTCTTGTTATTTTGAGTGTAGTTAACTTCCTTGGGTCAGAGTTTTCCTTTTACAACTTTCTGTAGGGCTGGATTTGTGCATACGTATTATATAAATCTGGTTTTGTAATGGAGTATCTTGTTTTCTCCATCTATAGTGATTGAGGGTTTTGCTGGGAATAGTAGTCTGGACTAGAATCTGTGGTCTCTTAGTGTTTGTAGAACATCTGTCTAGGACCTTCTGGCTTTCATACTTTCCGTGGAGACGTTGGGCGTAATTCTGATATGTTACTTGGCCTTTTTCCTTCGCTGCTTTTAATATTTGTTCTTTATTCTGTATGTTTGGTATTTTGATTATTATGTGGCAAGGGGACTTTTTTTTTTTTTTTGGTCCAGTCTGTTTGGTGTTCAATAAGCTTCTTGTACTTTCATAGGCATCTCCTTCTTTGGGTTGGGAAAATTTTCTCCTATGATTTTGTTGAACATGTTTTCTGCACCATTGAGCTGGGCTTCTTCGCCTTCTCCTATACCTATTATTCTTAGATTTGGTTTTTTCACGGTGTTCCTTATTTCCTGGATATTTTGTGTTAAGGATTTGTTGGATTTAAGACTTTCCTTTGGGGATGAATCCATTTCCTCTAGTTTATCTTCAGTGCATGAGATTCTGTCTTCCATCCCTTGTATTCTGTTAGATTGTTTTTTCAGCCTTTTGATTTCCAGCATTATCTCAGTTTGTGTTTTTTTATTGTCTCCATTTCGGTTTTCATGTCTTGAAATTATTTCCTTCATCAGTTTGATTGTTTTTTCTTGGCTTTCCTTGCTTTCTTTAAGAGATTTGTTGATTTCTTGCATTTTGTGGTTTGTGTTTTCTTCCACTTCTTTAAGGGGTTTTCTCATATCCTCTTTGAGGGTCCCTATCACTATCAGGAGGTTGTTTTGAAGGTCATTCTTTTCTGTTTCATCTGTGTTTGTATGTTCACGTCTTGCTGGTGTAGAGTGTCTAGACTCTGCTGGTGTCATACTGGCTCCTCTGTTGTTGGCTGTATTTTTATATTGCCTTCTTCCCATCCTTTCTTTCAGGGGGAGTTCGTGGGGTCCCTTCGTCTCCTGGTGGGTTTGGGTCTAAGGATGATTTCCAGGTTTGAGCAGGTCCAATACTCCGATGGGTGCAGGTGGGTCTGGGACACTCTCAAGCACAGGGCGGAGACCAGAGGGAACTAAAGAACTGGAAGACACTGAAGACTGAGGTGTGGGCAGACTCAGGGCCCTCGCCATGAGTGCGGGCCAGTAGGGACAGAGAGAGAGCTAAATGGGTCAGCATCTGGCTGGGCTTGGCCGACTGCTGAGGCTTAAGCAGTCTTATCAGAAAAGTGCCCAGCTGTATTCCAGAGCGGCAGCTGTTCCGCTGGGCTTCCTGGGTGCCAGAGTCAGGACAAAGAAAGATTTAACGAACACACAGCACAAATGTAAAGTTGGGACGAACAGCACTTTACAAACGGACTAGGGCCCTATTCAGAATCTCAGATGGCTAGCCAAATGTTGGACAACTTGGTCCTCAACCAAGTCCTCCCTACAGATTGAGCGACCCTGTCCCTGGTCCCCTCATGAGGATCAGTTTGGCTGCTACCCGAACTACCGCCTTGAATGAGGGATTGGAGCGTCCTCTCAATCCTCAGAGGCCCACCCCATAACACGTCTGTCAAGGGCCTATTGGCCTGCCCTGCCTACAGATTTGGCTAACATACCCACAGAAACACAAAATCACAAAATTGACACACAACATACAGCTCAGGATCTGCCAAGCTAGCACCGAAGCAGGCAGAGCTCATCAGATAACCTGTCCAACTCAAGATGAGCTTCAGCAGGCTGAGGATCGCAACAGATCAGATAACATAAACTTGTCTAACTGGGTCACCCAATCAGCTGGGGACGAAACACACAACCTGCTCAGCCTCTCCAGAGGACCTCGGGGAACCCAACTCCAGTTCCCACACCGGGTCCTCTGAACTGCAAACATAGTGAAGAAACCAGAGCTGGACCAATCAGAAACAAAGACCAAAGACCAAAGCTTCAACAGCCAGAGGTAGAAAGCAGAAAGCTTGCCTGGGCAAAACAGAAAGTTACCTGATGTGGCGCCACATGACTCAATGAAAGGGGGGGGTCCGTGGTGGATTTTGGGGATCCTGGATGAGCCCCCAAATGTTGTGCTCAAATTCTGAACCCCCAGATCACTATGAGGCCCATTTCGATGCAAAAGCCAAGAATTTTTATTGTAGTTGTTTAACAAGCTAACCCCATTAGCTCGGGCCTTCCATCCACCCACTGCAGCAGATGGCTGGAGAAAGACCTTGTCAATGTTTCTTAACCCTGGTTGTACTCTGTTATGCCCATTCTGCATCCTCTCCTGGCTGTCTTTTCATAACATTGTGGGTCTGCCTCAAAGTCATTGCACTTGCGTCTCTGCCTTTGGCTGTGTCCCTGCCTTTGGTTGTTTCTTTGTTATCCACACTTAGAAATCACTTTTCAGAAAGACATCCCCGGGCGGCAGCCTCCCTTACAACCTTCTTCTCTCACTGTCCTGCTCAGAAGCATCGCCTGCACGTTGTCCTCTTTTCCTTTTTCATTTTCTTGAAAGCCTATGTTAGCATGGGAAGATATTGTTCTTGATCCATTGGAGCCCCCCCCACCCCATGCGCTTTGGGATGAAAGGACCCCTGTTTCTGCCCTGCTCCACATTGCCAGTGCCTAGAACAACACTGGGTGTTTTTTTATGTGCTTTATTTAGAAAGTCTCCAGTTCCATCTCTTGTTATATGATTTGCCTAGGACTCCTAAGATTCACTATATAACCATCACCATTGGCTAAACCTGTAGGCATAGGAAACAAAGCAAAATCAACACAGAGAAGAAGGGACATGGGGTAACCCAGGGTAGCCAGGTCCAAGTTTCTCAGCTCCTCTACCAGGGGGGGTCATACCAGATATACTTTATATCCCGTATGAAAGTGTAACAGCACATGTCACTCCTACTTCACAGTCGACAGGCAGTGTTTTCCTGGGTGTTTGGTCACAGTCCCTCTCTGCTTAGTAGGGACCAGTGTTGTAGTATCTGTATGGGCTGGTCTTACTTTGAAGACTGCTCACTCTAAGGTTCCCTGATGCCAGTCAGTCAGGAGGCAGCCTTGAACTCAGACCTTTCCAGACACTGAAGATTCAGATTGGCTATTCTAGCCTACCTGTGTATAGAATTAAAATTCTCTGGAACTCAAGCATTTGAGGAGTGAATCTCAATTGATCAGCTTCATGTTAGTGCAGCATTAGCAGCGTCAGACCTCCAACACCCTCCATACACACATAACCGCCTGACGGCCCAAGATGAGCTCTTGAGAAGGGAGATGTCTGCTCTGCTCTGCTCTGCTCTGCCCGTCTTGCTCCTTGGTAAACATGAGTCCTTGGGGTCCTCAGGTGCTGAAGCACAATGGCTCCTCAGAGATCCTCAACAAGCTGTATGACACGGCCATGGACAAGCTGGAAGTGGTTAAGAAGGATTATGATGCTCTGCGGAAGAGGTACAGCGAGAAAGTCGCCATGCACAACTCAGACCTGAGCCGCCTAGAGCAACTGGGGGAGGAGAACCAGCGCCTGCAAAAGCAGACGGAGATGTTGACCCAGCAGAGGGACACAGCTATCCAGTTGCAGCACCAGTGTGCCCTCTCTCTGAGGAGGTAGGAGCCCAAACTGGGTGCAGGGCAGTGTGTGTTGGGGATAGCAAAATGGGTCACTTTGTCTGGGGCTCTGGTCTTTTGTGGGCTTCTGGTCATCTGTAAGGCTTCCAGGAGGAAAACCCCGAAGAACATTGTGCTGTTGCAGTCAATGAGAACACCATGTTTGATTCTGCCTTAGCTGTGAAATGATTTCCTTTCCTTTCATCTGGGCACCTTGTGTCCTGAGCACCCTGACTCTTAGATTTCCCTATAGACCTCTCTCTCCATAGTGGCCACCCTGCTTGCAAATGGGAAAGGTGGGTAGCCTGTATATCCTGGGCAGTGTGTCCTTTGACATTTCATTTTTATTAAGGGCCATTGCTTTTAGATATGATTCACAACCAGGACAGTATCGCATGCAGTCGTTCCTGTAGTGTGTGGGCTCTCTGCAGTGTTCATTGGTTTTCCGTGAAAGTTCTCTGTGTATAAGTAGATTTAGGAATGACCTCAGTGAAAACTCTCTGCTTAACTGTCTAGTGCAGTGGGGCACGGCTGCCATGGCAGGCCCCCGCCCCCTCCCACCACTTGTTTTCCTCCCCAGGTTCGAGACAATCCACCATGAGCTGAGCAAGGCCACAGCCCAGAACAAGGACCTACAATGGGAGATGGAGTTGTTGCAGTCTGAGTTGACAGAGCTGAGAAGCAAGCAGGTGAAAACCGCCAAGGAGTCTGAGAAATACAAGGAGGAGCGTGACGCTGTGTACAGCGAGTACAAGCTCATCATGAGTGAGCGCGACCAGGTCATCTCCGAGCTAGATAAGCTACAGACAGAGGTGGAGCTGGCCGAGTCCAAGCTCAAGAGCAGCACGTCTGAGAAGAAGGCAGCCAGCGAGGAGATGGAGGCTCTGCGGCAGGTAGGCAGTTCAGCGTGGCAGGCGGCCACAGAGCTCTTGAGGGCTGGATGAGAAGGTCCCAGCGGGTAGGATTTCTCTTTGAAGGTTATCAATGGTTGGGTTGGTCTGGGCTCCAGAGAAGAAATGGGACAGTGTCTCGCCGTTGTCCTGGACACAGGAAGACATCAGAGGACATGGATAGCTGAGTGGGTGCAAGGTGCCTCCTGGGTAGGAGTTCTGACCTGGTTCAGGTGCCTAAGTTGATAGCCTGTAAATGAGACGATTGCATAGTAAGTCATCAAGAGGCCATGCTTGTTTCCTGTACTGTAACACTGATGTTGCTTTGTTTGTTTGTTTCAAAATAACGAAGCTCAATTATAGGAGAAATGTGCTGTTCTTTCTGGTAGCTTGGAGAACATCACAGACCATCTTGAATTGCCTCAGACTGATTTTCTGTGAGCAAGGTCCCAAAACCAAAGTTCTTAGCTGCATAGACCTGATGGCCTCATGGTTCAAAAGAGCTCCTTTGGAGACCTTTGCCCACCAGCCATCTGTGTGCTCAGGAGTTTCTGGTTTTCTTTTCAAGTTCTGTGCACAATTTTCTGCTGCGTTAAATCTTAGGCTTGTCTGAAAGTCTTGCTCCCCGGGACGGTGCCTCCAGGGTTTGGAGACTGAGGTGACAGCAGGCCTGTGCCTCTCAGCTCAACACCTGTATGCTTTCCTGCCTGGCTGGCTTTCCTCACCACTGATGAGTCTCCCTGCTGGTCCAGTGTGCTCTTTCTTCCGGGGTGTAGACAGACATGGAGATCTTCTGCCCTTTGTTCGTGCTGTGACTCTGACAAGAGTCTCTAGACTTCAGAATATAAATTAAACCCACCCCCATCAAAGCCGCTCTTGATTCATGCATCTACTCCATGTGTCTCATCTTCTGTGTAGGTTTCTTAGGATGCAGGGGTACAAAGTGTTGCATGGCAAGGAAGACGGGAATGGTTATTCTACAGAGGTCACACGTGCTGGCATGAGGCAGGGTGGGGGGTGTGGGTGACAAGGCTACCTGTCTAGTTGACTTTCTGTTAATATGATAAACTCCATGACCCCAAACGACTTGTTAAGGAAGGGGTTTATTTCATCTTACAGGTTTTAGTCCACCAATGTGGAAAGTCGGAGCAGGAAGTTATGCAGGGCTGGAGCTTGAAGCAAAGCATGGAGGAATGCTACTCACGGGCTTGTTCCCAGGCTCACATTAAGCTACCTTTCTTATACAGCCCAGGCCCACCCGCCTAAGGATGGCACTGCTCATACTGAGCTGGACACTCCATTATCAATTAGCAATCAAGAAAATATCCCACAGGGGCTGGAGAAACGTCCAGCAGTTAAGAGCACTGGCTGTTCTTCTAGAGGACCCAGCAACACATGCGGGCTCACAAACATCTGCAAATCCGGCCCTCTTCTGGCCTCTGTGGGCACAGGGAAAAACACTCATACACAAAAATATAAAGGCAAGTCTAAAAAGTAAATTGAAAAAGAAAATGCCCCGCCGGGTGGTGGTGGTGGTGCACGCCTTTAATCCCAGCACTCGGGAGGTAGAGGCAGGCGGATCTCTGTGAGTTCGAGGCCAGGCTGGATCGACAGCCTCCAAACAATACAGAGAAACCCTGTCTCGTAAAACCAAAAAAAAAAAAAAAAAAAAAAGAAAAAAAAAAGAAAGAAAATGCCCCACAGCCATGCTTGCAGGCCAGCGTGATGTGGACAATTCTTAGTTGCATCTCCCTCCTCCAGGTGTGCCAAACTGACAAGCAAGATCAGCCATCACACTGGTGGCCTTGCTGCCCGCAGTGGCTCCTTCTGTGCTCAGGTAGAGGTGGGGGCTGTGAGGAGTGGGAGGGACTGAGGCTCTGTGCTGGAGTCTGAGCCTTCATCAGTCACATGGCTTCTCATCTCTTTTACCTTTACTGCCTCTCTGCCCTTCTCTGAAAACTGGATATAGTAGTCACATTTGTCCTAGAAGCATGATTTTCAGGTGACACAAACAGAAAACATGGTTAGCAGTTATGTCCTCATGGAGCTTGAATGACAGGAGTCTTTTCCATTATTATCCATTTAGGATGAACATGAGCCTTGTGCAACTGTTTGAATAGGTAAAATAGCAATCCCATACAGAGGGATTGATGTCCCCCAGACCATTGGGGTGAAGGTCAATGTCAAAAGCAGCATGTATTGCAGTAACATTTTGTGTGTGTGTGTGTGTGTGTGTGTGTGTGTACATATGTGTGTATATGTATGTATGTGTGTATTTCTGTGTGTGTATGTGTCTTTCTCTGTATATATGTGTGTATATATGTATGTATGTGTATATGTATGTGTCTTTCTCTGTATATATGTGTGTATATGTATGTGTGTGTATGTGTGTATGTATGTGTCTTTCTCTGTATGTGTGTATATGTATGTGTGTGTATGTATGTATGTGTCTTTCTCTGTATATATGTGTGTATATTATGTATGTGTGTGTTTCTCTGTGTGTGTGTATGTATGTGTCTTTTTCTGTGTATATATCTGTGATTCTGTCTGTGTATGTATGTATGTGTGTGTTTTCTCTCTCGCTGTGTGTATTTATGTGTGTTTCTCTGTGTGTGTGTGTATGTATGTGTGTGTATGTATGTGTCTTTCTCTGTATATATGTGTGTATATGTATGTGTGTGTATGTGTGTATGTGTCTTTCTCTGTATATATGTGTGTATATTATGTATGTGTGTGTTTCTCTGTGTGTGTGTATGTATGTGTCTTTTTCTGTGTATATATCTGTGATTCTGTCTGTGTATGTATGTATGTGTGTGTTTTCTCTCTCGCTGTGTGTATTTATGTGTGTTTCTCTGTGTGTGTGTGTATGTATGTGTGTGTATGTATGTGTCTTTCTCTGTATATGTGTGTATATGTATGTATGTGTGTTTCTCTCTCTGTGTATGTATGTGTGTCTATGTATGTGTCTTTCTCCGTGTATATATGTATGTATATGTATGTGTGTGTGTCTTTCTCTCTCTGTGTGTGTGTGTGTGTCTTTCTCTGTGTGTGTATGTGTGTGTTTCTGTGTGTGTGTGTGTGTGTGTGTGTGCATGCGTGGTGTGCGTTGTGGTGCTTGAGACATTTCCAGGGTCTTGCAGCCACCTGCCTTGTCTGAGTTTGAAATTTTACGAATGAGACTTATGTAAAGGAACCAATCTTCCTCCCTCCCTCCCTCCCTCCCTCCCTCCCTCCCTCCCTCCCTCCCTCCGTCTCTTCCTTCCTTGTTTCTTATTTTTTCTTATATATAAGGTCTCAGTTTATAGCCCTGGCTAGTCTGGAGCTCTATGTATAGACCAGATTACCCTTGAACTCACAAAGATCCACCTGCCTCTGCTTCCTGAGCGAGAGCGCCGGGATTGCAGGCATTCACTACAATGCCCATCCATAAAGAAACTTCTATTAAGTAAATTTAATGCACTAGAGTTTGGTAAATGTCCTAGATAGTCCATCTGTTCCTTTCGTGTCCTAGTATCTGAGTATACTAGTTGAAAACGGGATGTGATAGCTGGTTAAGAAATCACAGTAACAAGACAAGACAAAACAAAAGTAACTAACCACCACCAGAACAAAAAACAAATTGGTCACCTGACTAAAAAGGTTATGGAGTATTGAACACCTTCAAAGTGAGCTTGTGATAAGACAGCAAGCTTGCTCCATGGGATTTTCAGATTTCAGAAGTTACCTTTGTAGGCTGTGGTATTGCACACATAAAAGTATGACAATCACCCAGTACCCCCCTGGTACTGGCCTCCAGCAGTGAGCATCCCTAATGTGGAGGTTTGACATCTGAGCCTTCAGCCCTTGGTGCTCAGCCCTCAGGCAGTCCAGGCAGTCAGGCGTGCCCTTTAGTCTGGAGTCCTGCGGGCCTGTGCAGGGTGTTGACTGGGTGACAGGTGACTTGTCAGCTGAGGCAGGAATATTTTCCAAGCATTGTTCTCAGTCAGCAAGCAGCAGGGGAAAACCCCTGCCCTACCCACACCTGCAGCCACCTGAGTTGACATTCTCAGCTTCTCTGCATTGTTCTAGGTTCATGCCCCACTGACACTAGCCAAAAGGAAGCCAGATCTGTGGCCCTTGGGTGTGATGTAGCCCCAGGGAATGATGACCACACTGTTTGGCCACCTGTCCAAGGTCAGCTGGATAGGCCTTCTAGTTTATCTGGTTCCCTGACCACAGAGTGTCTGCATGGAGTTCGCCTTTGCAAAGTTCTCCCAGGTCCAAGCTCACTCCCCTAAATGGAGCACTGTGCCATACAAGGGCTGTCTGAGATAACATGGCTGGCAGTGCCTTCCCACTGCCTCTAGGTATACTGTGTGGGCATGAAGAGCCGAGCTCAGCTGTGCAGGCACAGCAGCAAGATGGTGCCTTGGAGGGGCACAGGGAAGGTGGTCAGATAGAAACAACACTGGTCCACCTGGAAACCATAGTCTCTGGCACACAGCTGGGGCCTTTGGTTGGGCAATGCGTCTGCTGGGGGCTGGGGTTCAGTCCCTGGGTCCTTCTTGATGGCTTCGCTTAGTTGGGGACTTATTTTCCCATTACATTTCAGCCCCTTTTCAGGCAAGAAGCTTCTAAAACAGCCCATATCTTTCCAAGCCCAGACCTCAGAAGTACCTGGGGCCTCAGTAACACTAAGGATGAGACCCCAGGCTGAGTTCCTGGAGGCTGAGAACTGGTGTAGAGGTGAGCAGAAGGCGGAGAGGAAATGCTGGTAGGAGTGGTCTCTTGGCAAGAATAGTACTGTTGGCAAATCACTGCTGGATGCTTGCAGTGTGTCCTCAGTGAAATTGAGGGCCTGGGGAGAGGTCAGTCACCTGGACCGTCTCGGCTGCCTAGTTCCACTGTTACTTTGAGTCTCCCTACCCCTGTCTCACTAAAGTGTCTGAGGAGCAGTGTTGTAGGATGATTCATCGCAAAGACTAGCAATTTGGAGGAGCCCAGTGGGAATCAAGGGGAGGCAGAGGTGGATGGGAGCCACCCCATTCTCCAGCCCACAGCACTGGTTCCCTGTGCCTGTGCATCTCCTCTGCTCAGTGAAACCAGCACGCCGAGCCAAGGGGAAAAGCCATATGGGGAGACAAATGCTGGTGTGCTTCCGATGGAAGTGCCCAGGCTCAGGACTTCCCTTGAGCCTCTGCTCTACTTTGCACTGGTCAGGTTTCCAGTTCATGGAGGCTGAGTAACCCTTTCACCTACCTCTTGCCCTTAGGTCAAAGACACAGTGAGCATGGATGCTGGGAGAGCCAACAAAGAGGTGGAAATCCTCCGAAAGCAGTGCAAGGCCCTGTGCCAGGAGCTAAAGGAAGCCCTCCAGGAGGCAGACGTGGCCAAGTGCCGGCGGGACTGGGCCTTTCAGGAGCGGGACAAAATTGTGGCAGAGCGTGACAGCATCCGGTGAGGATACTCTTGGATGGGTGTGGTCCTCTATTTCTCTTGTTCACTGAGGTCGATTGGCAGGATCACACTCATTGGCCACATGTCCAGGGAAGAGGCAGGGACCATGGCACTTCCTTCTCTCCCTTACGGATTTGTGCCTCACCTCCTGGCTTAGAGTTTTATGTTGTATTTCTTTTCTGCTTCGCTCTTGGACATCTTGAGTGTGTGCTGTGACTGGCTTAAAGTCCTCTTTAAGGACTTGATGGAAGCAACTTTTTTTTATTTGCATGTATATTATCTGTGTGAGGGTGTCAGATCTTGGAGTTACGGACCATTGTGAGCTGCCATGTGGGTGCTGGGAATTGAACCCAGGTCCTCCGAAAGAGCAGTCAGTGCTTTTAACCACTGAGCTGTCTCTCTGGCCCGGTAGAAGCAACTTGTATGAAATGTGTCTGTTTTTTCCTCTGTGTTGCTAGATGTCTACTGTGTCAGCATCTTAGTTTCCTGAGCAACAAAAGTTTAGAAGAGACTACCATGTGTCTATGCCTAGGAGAGGCTCTGGGTTGGGGTGGGCAGTTCTTGAAGGTGACATCAGTTAGGCTGTCATGGGACATGCAGGATACTCAGGGTAGAAGAAGGTCTTTAGGCCCAGTGCTGTTTGAGCTAGAACTTGGTGCTAGTATGGGCATTGTGGGCAGAGTATGTATGTTCTCTGAGGAGGGATTTGGATGTGGCCAGGTCCTGGTCTGGAGAATCACAAGGAGTAGAGTGACAGTGTCCTTAAGTTCAGGTTCTGAGCGTCTTGACTGGAAGCAGAGGAGTGTGGGTAAGATCCCGAGCTGGAGCAGAACCAGGGATGGTGGGGTTGTACAGTAAGTTGATCATTGAGAGATTCTGGGCTCCCGGCTCTGAGGCTGTGACAGGGACAGACCTATGCCCTGGTGGGGAGGGTCAGAGGTGCAGATGGATGATAGGTGTTTGGTGTGCAGTGTGGGAGGAGCATTAGGCCTTTTGGGTACTGCCTGCGGGCCCTTGCTCTGGCTTGCTCTCCATGTTCTTCCAGGGTGGGGTCCTGAGCTGTGATCAAGGAGGTAGAGGTTTTGGGCTGTAGAGGCATGAGGACCAGCCATAGGGTACATTATGTTGGAGATGACCAAGCACAGCCCCTCTGCTGTAGGCTTGTGTATCCAGTCTAGGTGGATGAAATACTATGGGTTTCTTTTTCAGAGTCCCATTGGGCTTCCACATTGCTCCTAAACAGAGTACAGAGAAAGTGTCCCTCAGTCTGGTAGTGGCACAGCTAGAAAGCCCTGCATACTGTCTGTTAAAGAACCTATGGGCATTGGAGCACCAGAGTCCACCAGGTGGGCTCCACCGCCACATAGCTCATGCTGGGAGAGGGAGTTTGTGGGACATGGACCTTTTGCCCCAGCTACCTGGGCATTGAGGTCTGATTGGTGTCCTTGGTTACATGGTGGCCTGGTCTGACTGGTGTCATGCACTCCTTTTGATGAAACTGAACCTTGGGCATAGGGGCTGTGGTACAGGCCACAATCCCTTCCTGTATTCTTGCCATTCACAGTAACCTTGACCTGTCCTTTCTCTACCAGGACCCTGTGTGACAATCTGAGGCGAGAGCGGGATCGGGCTGTGAGTGAGCTGGCTGAAGCCCTTCGTAGCCTGGACGACACCCGGAAGCAGAAGAATGATGTTAGCCGTGAACTTAAGGAACTCAAGTAGGCTTGGGTGTTACCTGCGTGGGGTGGGCTTATGCCTGCACTATCCCCTCTCCCTTTTGGGTGAGGCAGCCCTGAGTGTACTGAGTAAGGACTGGTCACTGTTTCCCTTCACTCTGCTTCACTGTGCTAGTCTGTAGAACGGGTTTGAACATTGGCAGTTCACAGAAGATGGCGTTCGCCCATTAGTGTGCTCAGGGAGGTAGGACAAGCCCCTCATTCATGCCAAGGCACATGAGAAGGAAGGTACTGTTCTCAGGCAGTCCCTTTGGGGACAAACGTGCCGGCACCATTTACAGTTCATTCATTTCCTTATTCATTACTCACTGAACAAAAGTATCTGCTTTGGCCCCGTAGAGGCAGGAAGCAAACAGCACTAATTAAAGAGACCACACTGTTGTAGTGCACGGGAATGGAAAGGCAGGCCCCAGAGAGACACACACTCAAGCAAATGAAGTAACAGTAGACAGTTTTCCAGGAAATTATAGCTGTGGTTTGGTAGTCTGTTCTACCTGTTCTCTAGATGCCTATTTAGAAGGGGTAGTGGGAACCTGCTTTTGAGTCACAACACCTTCTAAGAGGGTCATTTAGACACTTGGTGGCCCTTGGTTATGAATGGGAGATGTAAAATACAAAGTTTAAAATAGAAATTGGCAGAGCCTAGTAACTTAGAGTCTGCACTCAGACTCTACTGGGGGTGGCAGGGGCTTGTGTCATCATATGACAATTGCAAAGCTGGTATAATGAGAGGATAGTGGGAAGTCCCATGTGTACGCGCAGGCGTCCAGGCTTCACACAGTGAGTGGGTCCTTTCCAGAGGCAGTGGCAGCTTCCCTCCCTCCCATTTGAGATCTACCAAGATCAATAGCTTCATTATTAAATAACTTACACCAGAGCTGGGTACTCTGAGGAGCAGTTCAGAGCTCCAAAGGCAATGTGACAGGCCCTTACCCAGGAACAAGACATGGAATCAGGTACTGGATCCCACCAGGTAGGAATGCAGCTTATTGGTAGAGCATGGTATGTGCAAGGCTCTCATTTCACTTAGCACTGAAATCGAAAAGAAAGAAAGGTCCGTTTCAAGGGAAACCTTGGAAGGAGGTTTTGCACTTTACTTGAGCCACAACATATAGGAAACACTGGGTTCTGTTTGTTTATTCATCAGGCTTGCATTTGCAGCTTCTCTCTGCCAAGTTCTCTTACAAGTGACTTACTAGTAAGGATATCCCTGCTGCTGCCCGGGACCTTTCAGTCTAGAGAAACATAGGCATCCCCTGTGGTGACAGGCAGGCATCTCAGTGAGCACCAATGCTGAGCATGGGACCACACTATTCTGGTAGTCATGGGATGACAGCCCAAAAGGAAGGATCAGAGGCTAAGTAAGCATCCGATAGCCCAAGAGCAGCCAAGCCTAAGAAAAGTACAGACCTGGCAGCCTATCCTCATGGAGACAAAAGTAGGTCACTTAGATGCAGCAGTGTGGATGAACTCAAAGGCAGCCTAGGCCCAGGGGAAGTTTTTGTTTAAGATCTATTTTACTGTCTGTCTGTCTGTCTGTCTGTCTCTGTATGAGTACAAATGCCAGCAGAGTCCAGAAGAGGGTGTTCATTTCCTAGGAGCTGGAGTTACAGACATTTGTGGGTGGCCATGTGGGTGCTGGGAATTCAACTTGGGTCCTCTGCAAGAGCAGCCAGTGTCCTTAACCACTGAACCATCCATCTCTCCACCCCTATTTCCCTCTTTGTAAAAGATGGATGTTGACCTGCTCAAATCATTGCTTGAGGACTGTCTGTCCTATTGAATTACTTTTGTCCCTTTGCATCATTTGGTGGTGTGTCTAGGGCACTCATTCCAGGTATCACCACATAGATTCCTTTGTAGCTGCCTTAGAAGAAGTCGTAAGTTGAATGTCTCCTCACACATACTTATTTTTAACTCTTATTTTTACTTCTGTGTGTGTGTGTGTGAGAGAGAGAGAGAGACAGACAGACAGACAGACAGACAGACAAAGAGAGGGGACCGAGAGAAAAGAACTTTTAGGAGTTAGTTCTCTGTTACCTTCCGTCTTGTTGAGACACGTCTTTCTTGTTTCTGCATGCTGTCTACTCAAGGCTGGCCTGCAAGCTTCTGGGGGGATTTTCCTGTCTCTCCTTCCCATTTCACTGTAGGAGTGCCTGGATACAGATGACTGCCACCATACCCACTTTTGAATGTGGTTTCCAGGGCTTGAACTCAGGTTAACAGACGTGCACAGCACACAATTACCCACTGAGCTGTGCCATCATCTCTCACTTGGTATTTCATTCCTGGGATGGCATTAGGTGGCCTAAATCCTTTCTCCTATATTTTAGGTGACTGTTCTTGAATTCAGGAAACAGAGAGAAGGAACGTCACGAGGGGCTGAGGATATATTCCAAGTGACCTACTTTCTCTAGAGTCCCCACTTTCTACTTTTCACCCAATAATGTTGTCATATTAGGAATCAAAGAAAAGTTTAGTCTGTAGAACTCTCATTATCTTATTATTTTAATTATTATATTTATTATTATTACTATTTCATTATCTTATTGGCTCTAATGCAGCGGTTCTCAACCTGTGGGTCAAAACCCCTTGGGGATGATACCAGATATCCTGCAAAATTAGAGTTATGAAATAGCAACAAAAATCATTTTATGGTTGGAGGTCATCAAAGCATGAGGGACTGTATTAAAGGATGGCAGCACAGGTTGAGAAACACATGCACAGTTGTTTCTAGTCAAGACTAACACCATGGCTGGAGAGATGGTTCAACTGTTAGGAGAATGCACTGTTCTTGCAGAGGACCTGATTTGGCTCCCAGCAGTCCGGCAGTGCACTGTCTCCTGTAACTCCAATTCCAGGACGTCCAATGCTTTTGGCTGCCTTGGGCACCTGCACATGTCTCTCACCCATAATTTGTTTTTAATAAAGACTAGCCATCATACCTCTACTACTGAGCCTTGTATGTGAGAGGTAAACACTCTACCACTGTGCTACATTTCTAGGCCCCTTGCTGACCTTTGCTATGAATTGCTTTATACCTCTAAGTCAATTTGGGGAGAATTTCTGTGTTTAAAAAACACTACTATGAAACCCACTGATAATACATTCCCCCAGCTTATCAGTGAGTGCAAGGGCATAGAAGCACGACTTCATTTTTAGGAGTGGCTGCCTTAGTTTGTTGCTGAGTCACTGAGATGGTTCCCCTTCAAAAGACCACTGCCACCGCGCTCTCTGTTCTCAGGGAACAGATGGAATGCCAGCTGGAGAAGGAGGCCCGGTTCCGCCAGCTGATGGCCCACAGTTCTCACGACTCTGCCATTGACACGGATTCCATGGAGTGGGAAACGGAAGTTGTGGAGTTTGAGAGAGAGAGGGTGAGTTGCCTTGGGTGGCTGTGCTTGTCCACTCTGGGTGTGCTGGCTTTGAGATAGTAGAGGATGGCACTGTTGGGTCTTTTTTCATGGCTACCTCCCCCAGGTAGACTGCATTCTTTCCCTGTAGCCATCTATCCTGGTTGGGGTTGCTATTGCTGTGATGAAACACCATGACCAAATGATTTGGCTTGTGCTTCTACATCTTTGTTCATCATCAAAGGAAGTCAGGGCAGGAACTCAAGCAGGCTAAGAACCTGGAGGCAGGAGCTGATGCAGAGGCCACAGAGAGGAGCTGCTTACTGACTTGCTACCCATATCTTGCTCAGCCCACCTACTTAAAGGATTAACAGCCCAGGGGTATCTCCAGCCACAATGGGCTTGACCTTCCCACACCAATCACTAACTAAGAAATGTCCTACAGGCTTGCCTGTGGTCTGATCTTATGGAGGCTTTTTCTCAGTTGAGGTTCCCAGCTCTCAAATGACTCTAGCCTATGTCATAAAAGTAGCCACCATACCATTCAGACTGGGTTACATCACTCCCATGTCTCATGGTGATGCCGACAAATCCCATAGAAGGCAAAGACCCCAGTAGAGGACCAGGGGCTACACTGGCAGGGATGTCTGCAGTAGCTAGAGCCAGGTGCAGATAGCTGTTCATACATACCCTGGGGCCTAGGGTATTTCTCCTAACTGCTTGGTAAAGATCTGCTTGTGTTGCTTTGACAGGAAGATATTGACTTGAAAGCGCTCGGGTTTGACATGGCAGAAGGTGTGAATGAGCCTTGCTTCCCTGGGGACTGTGGAATATTTGTTACTAAAGTGGACAAAGGAAGCATTGCTGATGGTCGCTTAAGGTAAGAGTTGAGGAGGTCCAGCCCACGGAGGGGAAAAGTACAACCCAAAGTACAGCACCCCTGGGAAGTCAGATGACAGCGAAGTGAACATGTCCTGGTGTCCCAGAACTCACAGAGCTGTCGAGCTCCGTGATCAACTGGGGTGATTGTAAAGGGAACTGCCTCTTGGGTCTCCCTGCGTCTGGCTTTTCTCCAGGTGCCAAGGGCTGTGCTTTACTTCTGTGGGTAGCACAAGACTCAGGTAGTGTGTGATGAGAATAGGGTGTGGCACTGCCTGCTCATCCCATGAAATAGTGGAGACAATAATGTGATACACCAGGCTACTTGCCAAGTGGTGTGTGAGCACACCTTGTCATGTAATCATTCGTCTTCTTAATTCTTGGAGGCAGGTGCAGATATTGCCCCACCTTACAGATGAGTACACTAAGGTGGTAGGGCTAGGCTCCACAGCTAGGAAGTGGCAGAGTCAGGATCTGAAGCCAAGCTACAGGTCCCGGGGTCTGAATGGGTTCCTTCCTGGCCTTGTGCCTCCTCAGGGTCAATGACTGGCTGCTGAGAATCAATGACGTGGACCTCATCAACAAGGACAAGAAACAGGCTATCAAGGCACTCCTCAATGGAGAGGGATCTATCAACATGGTCGTGAGACGGAGGAAGTCCCTTGGTGGGAAGGTCGTCACTCCTCTGCACATCAGCCTTAGTGGACAGAAAGGTAGTAGGCCTGCAGATAAGGCCTGCATTCTCTCTGATGGAGAGGGATTGTATGCTTGCAGCATCACAGGTCCCCAGGGGTGCATGTTGATGGTGTCTTAACGCAGCCCATGTGCTCTCCTGGTGGGAGGTCATATGAGTCTTAAGTATCTGACTCACCAGACAGGGTGTGCTAAGCCCCATGGTGGGAGTGTCACATAGTGGGATTCAGTTCTTTTTATAAATTTAGTCAGCAGAATGGGATGGGACAGCCAGGTCATCCAATGCCCTCCTGTGGCTTGCAGACAGTGGCATCAGTTTGGAGAATGGAGTGTATGCTGCTGCTGTGGTACCTGGAAGCCCTGCTGCCAAAGAGGGCTCTCTTGCCGTGGGAGACAGGATTGTTGCGGTGAGTCTGCAGAAGAGAGCGAGCTGTCTGCTGTACGTGGACATTGCAATGTGGTACTGCACTCTGTGAGCACAGAAACACACACATAAACAAACAAACAAACCAGGAGCTTTTTCCTAAGGAAAGAGCTGGGATACTGCAGCAGTAGACAGGAAGAACAGTCTAGGAGAGAGGTGAGAATCATTTCCATTGCTCCCACACACTGAAAGCATTGGAGTGTCTCTTATATACTCCTCAATGTGTGAATGCCTATAACAGAAGATTTTCCAAGAATGAGTATCTATGTGATTTTTTTTTAATAATCAGGTATGTGTGTTTTGAGAGATCAAGCAATCCTCTTGCCTCAGAGTCATTGTGTCTGTTTTAAGTATCTTTTTTTTAACTGAACAGTATGCCTATTCTTTTAGCTTCTTTTTTCCATTACCAACATAAAACCTGTTTGCTGTAAAATGGTCTGATGATTAAAAAACAAAAAGTAACAAAACATAGAGAGCAACACGTAGTAGTTCCTCTTCTCTCTTGATTCCACTCCTAGAGATCTACCCCCACTTGGAAGGTGCCTGCAATCCAAACCTCGAGGGCTCATGTAAGCCCCTCTGTATATGTGTAGGGTTCTGGCATTTGTGTTTAAACACAGCAGTGGAATCTGCAGTTTGCATTCTGTACCATGGGTGGCTTTGCAAGTCAATCTTCATTAATGGTACCTGCTTAATGAGGCTGGGCTGCTTGGTTGTACATACTTAAAACTGTCTTCTGATGGACATATGTGCTGTTAGCCACTCTGCTGCTGTATGAGGGCCTGCAGTGAACTATGTCTGTAGTACAGCTGCTTCTGGACCCCTTAATCTTGGCACTCAATGAGATATGTAGGCATTAGCTAAGTAGCAGTGTTTGTGTATGTAAGTCTTGAGTGGAGAAAGCATGTACCTTTTCATGGCACACATGTGGAATTCCAGTTGTACAAAAGACAGTGGTGATAGCATGTCATCTGATGGTAGACCTGTCTGTGGATTCCCACCTGACAGACACCATGATTGACAGTTTACTGTGTTTACTTTCAGAAATGTTTCAAGCATGTCCATCTCTGGTTTTGTTTTGTTTTATAGCTCATTGGGAACTATAACATCCTCACTTGTTCACCTTGTGTTTTCTTTTTGACTGCATGTCCTAGAGAGATTAGTATCCTGGAATCTGCCTGTGGTTCTTTCTAAATGAGTATAATTATCAGTCGATGATGTTGGGTATAGAGTGCCATGTGTACTAGGTAAGCTCTCTGCACTGAGCACATCTTCATCCCCCATGTGGGTTTTCAGGGGCATCAGCTTACGCTACTAGCCAGTCCAGTGTGGCTGTCTTTGCACCCCAGGAAGGTCCTCTCCCGGGGCCTTCCAGAGAATACTGTGGAGTAAATTTCTGGGTCAGAGTGCATAGGTAGCGCATGAATACCTATGCTGCTGTGCCCTTGTGTTCCATAAGAGTCATGAGACATGTCAGCCTCACAAGCACCTGATGGAAAGAGCTCATCACTGCATATCCTTGTCAGTGTTCTTCAGATTTGAGAGCTAGTGCTTACAAACAGTATGGTCACATGGAAATGTCTTAAAAATGGAGACAAGGTACAAGGAAAACATATTAGTTGCCCTTCCCAATATAATTACATCCTGTAGATAGATACTTTCTAGTTTTTGTGTGTGGAGGTGGTAGTGTGTGTTCATATGGGTACATATATGTGCAGATGTGCATACTGCATGTGTTCCAGTGCATGTGGAGACCAAAGGTCACCCTTGAGAGTTGCTCCTTAAGAATCATCTATCTTTTTTGTTCTTTAATTGTTTTTAAATGATAGCATATGCTGCATTTTGAGGACACTCTGATGCCATAAAAATTTGTCATGTCTGTATACAGTTGATCATTGTGAAATGACAACGCACCATTGTGATAGCACAACTGGGCAGTGTTATGTAGCATTGTGGCAGCAGAAGAGAGGACTGTGAAAACACCATAGAGCGGTGTGGTATCAGGGTGGAACATTCTGATGTCACAGAGCTATAACATCATATGCAGTATTGTGACAGTAGTGTGGAGCTTGTAATGCCACTTTTAAGCAATTTGTGACAACACTATGAACCATCGGAAGCACAGTAGAAAGTAAGATTACTTACAAGCAGAGTGATGAGAGCGGTACCATGTAGTATTTTGTTGATTGGTATAGCATTGTGATGTCACACTGAACTGTGATGTAATAATGTAGCACTGTCGTGGCACAATGGAGCATTTTAATATGGCTGTGTATTATATGAGACTTTAAAAAATATCCTTTATTTATTCTTTGACAATTTCACACATGGACCCCCTTGCCAACTCCCAACAGTTACCACAGCTGCCACATCATGTTCAGAAGATAGCGCTTCACAGAGCTTCTCCCTCCTCCCTGTCTTACATTCTTCCTGTCCCTTCTTTTCTGTGTTCTCTGGGCTCTGAGTGGTTGATACAGATGTTCAGTTTAGGGCTGAACACTCAATACTCTCTTATTCTCTACACTTTAATTAGTTATGAGTCAGTACATTAACCGATGTCCACTGCAGAAAGAGGCTTCTCTGGCTAAGGTTGGAAGATATAAACTTAAGTATTTAGAAGATAGTTTGACAACATGGCCGTTTAGCAAAACAACGGGCTTCAAAGCCATGGGCTTTGACCAGGTTTACAATATCAGACATGAATTCTCTCCCCTGGAGCAGATCTCAAATTCAGTCAGAAAGCATCTGGTTATCCCCATAACTATTACAACACTCATGTTGTCATGTTGTCCGCCCATACACGGTACCTCCATATTCAGACTCACATGTATAAATCAGCTTACAGAGAATGGATTTCCATAAGAATTTTTAGTACCTCTCCCCTATCTCCTTCTAATTCTCCCTGAGTCTTTACTCACCATTCACCTTGTTTTTTGAGATAGGGTCTATTATTGGTCTGGCTTTTCCAAATAGGCTGGGTTGTTGGCCAGTGAATTCCAGAGATCTGCCTGTATCTGTTTCCCTAGCTGCATATTACCAGTATGTGTCACTTAGCACCCATATTACCAGTATGTGCCACCATACCAAGCTTTTTACATGGCTTCTGGGCATCAAACTCAAGGGTGCACAGCAAGCACTTCACCAAGTGAGTGCTCTCCCCAGTTTCCCCCCTTAAACTTCAGCTTAGAAAGAATTATAGAATCAAAAGAAGTGGTAAAGATAGTGCAGGGAGGCCTGATGTACCGTCCACTGTCTCTCCTCCATATTAAAGGCAGCATGGTGACACTGGTGTGGCATGTGTGCCGAGTTCTGGGTGGTGTTATCACAAGTAGTTTGTATAAACGTGGTAGTCACTTATAGGGACATTTCTTCATCATCCGTGTTTCCCTTTATAGTTACCCCCCCAGTCTCTTGCCTGGCAGTTAAGTTGTACTTGTATGAATGGCATTGTATAGTGTGTGAGTTCATCAAGACTTTATTCACTCAACATGATTCCATGAGAGCCTCCAAAGTGTCCTGTGTCCCACTAGTTAGTTCTTGTTGTAGCTCAGGTGCCCCACAGCATAGACAGTCACTGTTCTGTATGCCCCTTTTGAGGTTTGACCATGTCTGTGAGGGATAAGGACAGAGTCCAGGAGAGGGTGTTGATTCTCTTTGACAATGGCAGTGCCTCATTTCATGTGCTACTTTCTATGTCACAAAGGCTTCTCCTTTCCATTTTCCAGCCAACTCCAAGAGGCATATTTATTTCCTGGCCACGCACACATGAAGGAGTGGGCTGCTGTCACACGGAAGAATGTCTCCCTTGGGTCTCCTGTATTCTGGTCCCACCCAGCGTGATGTTAGGATTGTGTTCCATTTGTTCCAGAAGGTCCTTATCTGACTCCAGGTGCTGCTGGCAAGGCCCTTCCTTTCCTTTGCTAACCCTGAGTTTGGCTTCTTATACAGACAGTTCTAGGATTGGCAGATGGGCCCAGCCTCTGGCCTAGCAGCCTGGGAACACTGAGGCCACACCATCGCTAGGCCTGACCAGTTCTCTCTTTGACCCTAGATCAATGGTATTGCACTGGACAATAAGTCTCTGAATGAATGTGAATCACTGCTACGGAGCTGTCAAGACTCCCTGACCCTCTCCCTCCTGAAGGTGGGCACTGGGCACATCCACCAATGTTGGGAGGGTGAGAAGATCCTCAGCTCTATGCATCTGAGCTGTTTCTAAAGGATCATTGGGGAAATGTATTGGTTTTAAAATGCAGGGTAAATGAAGCCTGAGTGGATATAGGTTGAAAAACAGTCCTGTTGAGAATAGTTAGGCACCTTTCAGTCTGGACTGGAAAATCTGATGGCCCTAGAGATGCTTAACTTCCTTAGGCCTGGCAGTGGCTTTGGAGTTCAGTGGGTGACAGCCATATGTGGTGGTACATTTGGAAGTTCTTAGCTGGGGAAATAACAAGATATGTGTGACTTTCCAGTGTTCAGTGTCAGCAAAGAAAAAGACAATAAAAGAATATCAGGGGCCGGGCATCTGTGGTGCACCATGCCTTTAATCCCAGCAGCACCCAGGAGGTAGAGGCAGGTGGATCTCTGTGAGTTCGAGGCCAGCCCAGTCTACAGAGCGAGTGCCAGGATAGGCTCCAAAGCAATACAGAGAAACCCTGCCTCAAAAAACAAAAAACAAAAACAAACAAACAAACAAAAGAGTATCTGGTAAAATTGAATCTGGTGAGTGGGTTTATCGGTACTCATTATATTTTTATATCAATATCAACTTTTCTACATAGTTGAAAAGGTTACTAATGGAAATTTAAGCAATGGGTCCAGCTAATTCACTAAGAGGTGTTTTCCAAGTTATTTCTTTTAAATTGATAGATGTTGAGGGCAGATTGTTCTAATGTGAGTCCTCAGCCTAGGTCTCCCCTGGACTTGCCACCTTGCATTTTTATGGTACTTTGGAACAAATGATGAACCATCACTGCTGCATAGCTTAATGGGGGGTTCACTGCTGATACTGTGTTTTCTGTGACTATGGACAAATGTATGTGAGCATGTGGTCATGTTAAAGTACTCTACTGATAGTGTCACTGCCCTAAAAATCTCCTGTGTCCTGCTTAGTCATTGCCAAATCAATCTCCTTAAGCCTCCCAAGAACCACTGATCCTTTTGCTGTCTCCAGACAGGCATCATGTAGCTGGAGCCCCTTTTCACATAGACTTACTCGCACACAGTTCTTTCTGTGTCTTTTTGTGGTGTGTGAGCTCACCTCTTGGCCCTGGTTAGTTTCCCGTTGCCTGGGTTGCCATGAATACTTTTATGCTTAATGATTCTTACACAGTGTGCGGGTGGCTACAGATAGTGCTCAAAGTTGACAGGATTTTATTGCTCTTATAAGTTCTACATAGCGAGGCCCATGAGAAAACTTCACTGTTAGACAATAATATGTACATGCATCTGTGATGTGTTCGTGCGTGCGTGTGTTGGGGAGCTGTAGCCATCCCTTTCTATCACTATTCTGGGGATGGTTTCCCATGACAATTGTAAGTGATGGTATCTCACTCTTTTTTACCCCTCTGCATCCCTGGTTCAGGTGTTTCCCCAGAGCTCCTCGTGGAGTGGCCAGAGCATCTTTGAAAATACTAAGGACTCAGATAAGATGCTGAGCTGTCGAGCCCATGGCCCAGAGGTCCAGGCACATAACAAACGGAACTTGTTACAGCACAATAACTCCACGCAGACGGACATCTTCTACTTAGATCGGCTGGAGGACAGGAAGGAGCTGGGTCCCCCTGGAGGCAGTAGTTCTTTTCTGCACAAGCCATTCCCTGGAGCCTCCTCCCCAGCATCTCCCCAGGCCTGCCCTAGCACCTCTGAGCGTAGTCTGAACTCATTCCGCTCTGATGCCTCTGCCGAACGTGGCTACGGGCCGCTGGACATGCAGAGCCAGCGGCCACTGCTGTCTTTCGAGACTGAGGTGGACCCCTGTGGGATAGTAGAGGCTCCCCTGGACAAGGTAGATCCTGATGGCTCCAACAGTGGTGGGACCTGGCCCAAGGCTGTGCTCGGTTCTACATCAGGGCCTGAGAAGCTCTCCGTGTACAAGAAGCCCAAGCAAAGGAAGTCTATCTTTGACCCAAATACTTTCAAGCGCCCACAGACACCCCCCAAAATAGACTACCCTCTTCCAGGCCCTGGGCTTGCTCACTCCCCTCAGCCCTCCAAAAGGGTAGGGTCTATGACACCCCCGAAACCCCCCAGGAGAAGTGACTCTATCAAGTTCCAGCATAGGCTGGAGACCAGCTCTGAGTCAGAAGCCACCCTGGTGGGCAGCTCACCATCCACCAGCCCTCCGAGTGCCCCAGCCCCCAGCATGGACCCTGGGGAGCCCATGCATGGTTCACCCACTCGAAAGGCCAGGGTCCGCATTGCCTCCAGTTACCATTCTGAAGGGGATGGAGACACCTCCTACCTGCCTGCCAAAAAGTCCTGTGATGAGGACCTCACCTCCCAGAAAGTGGACGAGATGGGGCAGAAGCGGCGCCGGCCAAAGTCTGCCCCTAGCTTTCGGCCCAAGATCACTCCAGTAGTGATCCCCGCTCAGTGCCTCGAGGTAGAGGTTGGCCTGGGGCTGGAGCAGCTGGGGTGGGAGGTTGCAGGGTATCCGTGCACAGTTTCCCAGGCTTGTGCAGAGCTGGTGCCTTTGCTGGTGGTGTGTACCTACAGGAGTGGACAGAGTGGCAGGTGGATGCCAGTGACCATGTCCCATGTAGGGGATGGAAAAAGGTCATGCGACATGCATGGAAGTGGGAAATGATATCAACAGAACACTTAACCTGAGAATAATGTTTGGTTTATTTGTTAAACTAGTTTTTGAACTTGTTTAAAAAAAAAAGTTAAGTGACATATTTGCCCAAGAAAGGTTGTGGGAAATGAGTGGTACACTGAAGCTGGCTGTGTTTCCAGAAGGAAAAGTGCTGAGAAGTGAAACTCCCAGGGAACAGTGCGCACTGCTCTCTGTGTATCCTGCCGCAGACATGTCTTCCCATCGTCCACTCCCATGACCTGTTTATCTGAAAGGCACAGTCCTAACTAAAACTACAAAAAAGCTAGGCAGTGGTCAGTCACAATCTTAATCCCAGCACCTAGGAGGCAGAGGCAGGCCAGTCTGGTCTACAGAGTGAGTTCTAGGACAGACAAGACTACACAGAAACTCTGTCTCCGGGAAAAAAACAAAAAAGACAAGAAAAGGAAGGGAAGAAAGAGAAAGGAAGGAAGTTTGGTTGTTTCTCTGCACTTGTCATATAGGAAGCTGTTTGCTTCCAGGCATCAGGCAATGTGACGGGCAATACCTCTCCTACTGATCACTCCTTAGCCTGAGAGGAAGAGCTGGAGCTGAAGTCAGTTTGCAAACATACTGAGTATTCAATTTCTCCAGCTGACACTCTTACCTTTGATTCTGCAGGACCAGGAGTGCATTCCAGCCTGTGGAGAGCTCTCCCCAGAGGTCCAGGAATGGTCCCCGTACTCACCAGGGCATGCTAGCCGACATGGCAACCCTCCACTCTACCCCAACCGGCCGTCTGTGGGTAAGCTGTTGGGATAGGAATTGAGAGCAGGGTTGTTATGGGCTCACAGGGAAGACCAGTCTTTGGGAAGAGGGGATACTGTCACATGTATTCAACCTGTAATTGCTGCCCTTTCTGTGATTGTTAGCCCCATCTCTGTTGGATGTGTCTTTGCTCATTGCAATGAGTCAGTACTTTCTTACGATTGGGGAAAGACCTCTAGTCAAAACCTATGGCTAATTGGTAGCTAAAAGTCTCTACCTAGAACCCTTTCTCCTAAGACTGAGACTGCCTGGTGTTTGTGGGAGGGTGTGTTCCAGTCCAGAGCCATCTAGTGTTTTGGAACCACTGTTCTGACCCAGCCCATTTCTAGGCACTGTTCCCCGGAGTATGACTCCCAGCACCACTGTGAGCTCCATTCTACGGAACCCCATCTACACTGTGCGCAGTCACAGGGTGGTTCCCTGTGGCTCTCCACCTGTGTCCCGTGATGCCGGCTCCCAGGGCTTGTCTCCCAGGTACGCCAGGGCTCTTACACTTTGCTGTGGACCAGCTGTCCAGGCAGGGAAGAGGTGTCAGTATTGCACACCTAAACCACCTTGCTGGACTGACTGCAGGCCAGCTGGAAGTGGGCAGTCCCTGGGTAGTGTCCACTAGCTCCAGCTTCCTGGGCATGCTGTCCTGAGCAACACCACTCTCTCCAGGACCCTCAGTGCACATCCAGCCTCCCCCACCCAGGCCATTTTCCTAGGCCTGTACAAGGCAGAGCTTTGTTTCCCCCATGCATCCAACTCCAGTCTGGCCCTTGTGTGCTCCCTCTGCTGCCTGCAGGTCCTTAGTAGATGTCATCTATGAGAAGTGACTAGGACAGTCTGCTGTCCTAGGCAACAGCAAGGGCACCTCACTGTCTGTCTTGGGAGTCCAGGCTGCTTACTGTTTTCCCCTTTGGTTATGTCTGGTCTTAGTCCTTCTCCAGGGCACCTCACCTCTCTGATTCACTCACAGTGCCCAGCACCAGGGACGCCTCAGCCTGGACCTGAGTCACAGGGCCTGCAGTGACTACTCTGACATGAGAGCCTCCCAGGGTTCCAACTCCCTGCCCTCCAGTGCCCGTCTTGGTAACTACCACTGGTGCTTGTATTTTAATAACCAGGTCTCTGGGTGGGCTGCCTGTGTTGACTCCTTTCCCTCCAGAGGCTGAGTCAGCTCCCTCCCCTGAATGGTTGCTATCTCCTGACCCATCTATGTTTTCAGTCACCACCTTCTGTCTGCAGGCTCCACAATGGTCGCATGGTTGTTTCAGGTGACCTCTTGGTTGGAGTCTTGTTTCCTGACCTTGAGTTAGTCATCCTGGTGGATACACACCTGGGGAAAATGTAACTCTGAGGGGAGTGTCGTGTTGCCTGGCAACAAGACCCCAGGAGAAGTCTTTGGGGGCTTCAGAGACAAGATGAAGCATCTGCTGTGGCAGTTGGGTTGCTGTTGCATTTGGGGACTTGGAGCAAGGCATGTGCTCCTGTTCTAGAGCATTTTGAGCCTACTAAATTCTTCTAGCATGAGGAGCAACTGACTGCTTCTCTGTAGTTCTCCACGGACCATTTCCCTTAGGGATATCTAGCAGGCTTTCTATGTCACTGCACTGACTGCTGAGAGGTGTGAAGACTGTGGGCTCTTGAGTCATGAGGCCTGCTGCTGTGTCTCCTCCTGAAACAGGGTCTTCCAGCAACCTGCAGTTCAAGGCAGAGCGGATTAAGATCCCATTAACACCAAGATATCCCCGATCAGTCATGGGCTCTGATAGAGGTAAGAACTGGGCGTTCTTTCCTATGCCTGCTCCCTTGGGTCCCCTCTAGTCATCTCAGTGGGTTGATGAAGGTTGACTGAGTCTAGCTCTAATCTGTTGCTGCGGGGACAGGAGGCAATGTGGAGACCATCATCAAGGCCCAGGTCATGGGATGAGATCCACACAGCCCGCATCTAGGTGGCAGATCCATTCATGTCCATCTCTTCTCTCCGGGCAGGTTCACTGTCACATTCTGAATGTAGCACTCCTCCCCGGTCCCCACTGAACATTGATACCCTGTCCTCCTGTAGCCAGCCTCAGACCTCAGCCTCCACATTGCCTAGAATTGCTGTTAACCCCACTTCCCACGGGGAGCGAAGAAAGGACAGGTGAGTGTAATGAGCACCTCGCTGGGGCAACCCGGGGACTTGACATGTGCTCTGGCGATGGTGCACACCAGAGAGCGTGAGGCACACCGCCGACATAGTCCGAGCAGGACAGGGAGAGATGGCAGGGACAGAGCACTGAGTAAGCATGATGATGCTAGAGATGGCCTGGTGGTGACAGGGATATTGGGTACTACTTCCTGCTTACCAGGTCCATTTATGCACAGTTATAGAAACCTCAGTTGCATGAGTATTCCTTCAGCTATCTCCATGTTATAAGAGTAGACTGTGTGCAACCCACCTGAGTGAGTTTTGTGGATGCAAGCTTAGTGACTGGCTGTGAGGATGGTCTTTAGATGGCTATCTGCAAGGGACCTTAGAACTCTAAACTACCTGATGCTCTAGTGTATTTCCAGTGGCAGAAGTGACTGTATGCAGGAGCAAGAAGGTTAAGGGAAGAATTGAGGAGCAGTGGCTTTGGGAAGGGAAGCCACCTGGGTGGGGGTGGGATCAGAACAATTTAAGAATTTCATGGGACAGGGAGATGGCTCAGCAAAGGCACTTGCTGCCAGGCCTGGTGAACTGAGTTTGGTCTCCTGGACCTACATGGTGGAAGGAGAAAACTGACCCCACCCCTACCCTACATACTGTCTTCTTCCCACCATGGCAAGTGAATACATAAATGAAAAGGTAAAATCTTTTAAAATTGGTGGAAAGGCATTTTTGCCCTCTGTTATTCCAAGACACAGCTGTGGGGATCCAGGCTGAGATCTTCTGAGGCTGTGGATGCTCTGTTTGTCTCACAGTAGTGAAAGCAGCAGGTGTCTTCGGCCAGTCATGACTTGGAATGTCCCATGGGCTTTGGAGGGGACCCAGGAGGAAGGGTAATTCCCCTCCACAGCCTTTGACTGAGACCAAGGGGCCCTGGGCTGGAGAAGTTGCTCCTAGGGAGAGTGCTTGGCAGAGTCCTGGGTCTTTCATTCTCTGAGTGTCCCTTCTCTCTAACCTTTGTCCATCGATGTATCTCTTCCACCACAGATCCCTTCTGAGGCTGCTCGTGGCCATTAGGCCCCGGTCCTCCTCGCTGAGGAGTCTGAGGTTGGCCTGACATGAGTCTCACATCCTTTCATGCCCTTGAATAAGGGGGACAGCTCCCTGGCCAGTAAATGCCTGAGGACATCCTTGCTCCATCAGTCTCTCAGCCTCTTCTCATGGCTTATAGCTACTTCATTTTCACCCTAGGGGCCCATAAATATAAGAACTGGATAGTCATATCATCTTTGTGGGGGACTATAATTGTAGAGCCATCTCTTTTGCCAATGGGTGTCTTCAGAACCCCTGCCATGGGATACGCATAATGCAGGTCCTGAGATCATCCTTTCATCAAATAAAAACGTGTATGTGTATATGTGTGTGTACATAAAAATGTGTGTGTGTGTGTGTGTGTGTGTGTTTCCTATGAACCATTCTCTGTGTTTTCCATGTTTGTTTGGATGTCCTGTATTCCTTTGTCCAAAGTCAGCTTGCCATCTCCCATCAGAGCACCTGAACTGTGGTCCCCACACTGCTGACGCATGCCCAGTCTCAGCCCCCGGCTCTGTCCCTTCGGCTCTTTCTCCAGGCCTTACCTAGAGGAGCCACGGCACGTCAAGGTGCAGAAGGGCTCAGAGCCTCTGGGAATCTCCATTGTGAGTGGAGAGAAGGGTGGCATCTATGTCTCCAAGGTGACCACAGGGAGCATTGCCCACCAGGCTGGCCTGGAGTACGGAGACCAGTTACTTGAGGTAAGAGGGAGTGGCCCTTCCTGCCTTCCTTCTCTCCCAAGTCCATGTTCATTGCCTCAGTCATTGCCCATCACTGAGTCCACCCTGGTCCTCTTCCCAGTTCAATGGCATAAATCTGAGGAGTGCCACCGAGCAACAGGCCCGGCTAATCATCGGACAGCAGTGCGATACCATCACCATCCTGGCCCAGTACAACCCACACATTCACCAGCTCAACAGCCACTCCCGCTCCAGGTGAGCTTCCAGGGGCTGCCTAGGCTAGGGTGGAGAGATAGATGCCGCAGGGGATTACTTACTTGGGGCCAGTTCCAAATTTTCGAGATTCTTCTTCTAGTAAGGGAAAATGAATCACCTTGAATTTGGGGCAAGGGTTTCCAGAGAGAGGATGGCTCCTCCTGAAACATTTAGAGTACAGACAAGAGTGGGAGAGCTGTGCTAACCAAAGTCACAGCCTGGGCACAGGATTCATGCTCAGGGGTTGACTCTGTATGTGAGCAAACACTGGACACCTGCTTGTACCTACCCCTGGACTGTGGGTCCCAGAGTAGATGGGGGTGAGCTACAAGTCCTGAGCCTCTACACATGGCTTGGCAGAGAATAAAAGCAGATGAGAAGGGAAAGTGGCTTTGCATGTCCTCTAGGATGGACACCTTTGGAGAAGATCCCTGGTTGGAGACAGGCAGACCCTATGGGGTAGGTGGCACAAGTCTAAACTCCTCATGTGTCTGTCTTTCTAGGACTCGGTGTGTTAAACTGGGTTCCCTATTTACAGTCTGGGAGTATCGCCGTTGCAGGGGTGGTGGATCTGATCACTTGAATGCATAGTATTCCTTCTGTTTTCCACCTCTAGCTCCCACCTGGACCCTGCTGCCACCCCTTACTCCACTCTCCAGGGCAGCAGTGCTGTAACTCCGGAACATCCCTCTGTCATTGACCCACTGATGGAACAGGATGAAGGCCCTGGCACTCCCCCAGCCAAGCAGAGCATCCCCAGCTCCAGGTCAGCACAGGCATGCTGTGGGTCTCCAAGCCCAACTGCTCCAGTGGGCTAGAGCCCACACCAGGCCCTCCCTCTCTTCCCTCCCTCCCTGCCTCCCTCCCTCCCTCCCTCCCTGCCTCCCTCCCTCCCTCCCTCCCTCCCTCCCTCCCTCCCTCCCTCCCTGCCTCCCTCCCTCCCTCCCTCCCTCCCTCCCTCTCTTCCCTCTCTTCCCTCCCTGCCTCCCTCCCTCCCTCCCTCCCTCCCTCCCTCCCTCCCTGCTTGTGTTGCTCCCCCTCTTCGTCTTTCCTTCTCCCTTTCTGTCTCCAGATGGCTCACCTTCATCGGCCAGGCAGGTCCTGGGGCTCTGGCCAGCTGTGGCAATGTTGAGGTTAGGCTGGGGCCCCGGCCAGTGTGGTGAGCTGCAGTGCTGTGAGAGCAGCCATGGCTGAGCTCTATGGCAGGGAGTCGTCAGCCTGGAATGGACATTTTCTATGAGCGGACAAGGAGGAGCAGCATCAGGAGGAGGGAGGAGGAAGTGTTCTTACTGGAGCCTGGTGCCAGTTTAGCCTAGAATTGCCACAGCTCCAAAGAAAGTCCCAGTGTCATGCAGATTGAGGCAGCTCTGTCTGCTGGTACTCACCTGGGCAGATTGTCACCAGGGGTGGGCTCTTCTTCATATCCCCTTCATGGTCTCCATGGGTGCCTGCCTACTCACCCAGTTCCCAGCTTCCCCTCCCTCCTCCAAATTCACTCAGAAAGGGCAGGCCCCCTGTGGGCATCAGCAAAGCATGGCATATCGAGCTGCCATAAGAAAAGTACCTCACCCTGTATTCAGTATGAGCAAGGCAATCTGTCATGAGGATTGGACTCCCCAGACACAGCCAAAGCAGTAGGGACAGTCCTTCTCCCATTGCTGCGAGTCCCACAAATAGACCCAGCCACACGGTCACAGGTCACACATATGCAGAATACCTAAGTCAGCCACGTGCAGGCTCCCTGGTCTTAGGTTCAGATCCTAAGTGAGTTCCCATGAGCCAGGGCAGCTGTTTCTATGGGTTTTCCTTGGATGTCCCTGACCTTCCTCACTAATATAATCCCTCTTCCCAATGTTTGGCTAGTGGGTTTCTAAATCTGCCTCCATCAGTCACTGAATGAAAGGTCTCCACTAACAACCTAGGTAGTCATTAACCTGATCACTGGGGATGGCCATTGCTGCCTGGAGTCTTGGTTAGGGCCATCCTTGTGGAAGTTTCCTTTGCATCATGCTTCTACCCGAGTCTGTAAAGCCCCCTTTCCAGTCATCTCTTTCAGCACTGTCCCCCTCTGCCCACCCTGCAACCCGATTTCTTAAGTTCCCATGCCCACCCCCACCCCAATCCACCCAGGAGATCTCCTCTATTTCTCCTTCCCAGGGCCCCTTGGGCCCTCCTTGTTACCTAGTCTCTCTTGTCTGTGGATTGTAGCATGGTTATCCTTGCCACAATCCTCCATGGCAAGAACCCCTGCATGAGTTGGCATAGAAACTGCTCAAGGAAGAGACGCCTCCTCGGTCACCCAGGGACAGCTGGGCCAGAGGCATGGGTTTTGTCCTTAGCTCTTTCCCTTGTTGGCCTTCTTGTTTTCTCTCTGAATGCTTTGTTGTCCTCTTTCTTCTCTCTTTCTGTTCACATTGCCACCCTCAGCCTCCAACCCTGTACTGAGTCTATAATAGAGGAGAACCTGTGACCAGCCGACCCCTTGGCTCTTGGGAATCCCAGGCCTGCAAAACAAGCAGGCAGGGCATCAGCCATGGCTGTCTTCACTTATGCCTGCCTCTCTCCTTGTACATGTTAAGGACTTCATTTTCCTTCTCAAAAGGATTGTGGGAGATACCAGCAAGAAGACTTCTGAACCCCGCATAGTTTTCATCAAGAAATCCCAGTTGGATCTGGGGGTGCACTTGTGTGGTGGGAACCTACACGGAGTGTTTGTGGCTGAGGTGGAAGATGACAGTCCTGCCAAGGGTCCTGATGGCCTTGTGCCAGGGGACCTCATCCTTGAGGTAAGTCCTGCCATTGGGTGTGACAAGTCATGTTCATATGTTATCAGCTCATGTCCTATTTCATGACACAGGAGATGGGATTTCACGTCACCCATCTACTTGTCAAGGAGGTTTATTCATCTTGTAAAGGAGGGATACTGCCAAGCCCCTGGGCATTAAGGTGGGCTGCTGAGGCAACCCAAGGGCTTAGCCTGGGCTCTGATTCTGAACAGCCAGGAGGAGGTGCTCAGTCTCATGAGCCATAGGTCTCTGAGCTGACTGATTTGGCTTTCTTTCTCTCGTCCTCTCTGGGTCTCCCATCCCGTGGGGGAGATGACACATAGATAGTTGTCCTACTTAGAGTTACTATTGCTGTGATGAAACACCATGACCAAAGCAACTTGGGTAGGAAAGGGTTTATTTCAGCTTATACTTCCAGGTAACATTCCATTACTGAGGGAAGTCAGGCCAGGAACCTGGAGGCAGGAGCTGATGCAGAGGTCATGGAATAGTACTGCTTACTGGCTTGCTCTCCATGGCCTGCTCAGCCTGCTTTCTTACAGAATCCAGGACCAGCAGTCCAGGGGTGCCCCCACCCACAATAAACTGGGCTCTTCCCCATCAATCACTAGTTAAGAAAGTGCTCTACAGGCCTGCCTACAGCTCAGTCTTATGGGGTGTTTTCTCATCTGGGGCTCCCTTTTCTCAGATGACTCTAGCCTGTGTCAAAATGATATAAAATTAGCCAGTGTGATGTCAAATGTGTGGTTTCATAAGCAAAATGTAGCTGGCTAGCCAGGAAGTCACATAGGCATCGGCACTAGAGAGACCAAGATCTGTAGAGGGCAGGCAGGCAAAGTCTAAGACCAGGCATTGTCTTGGAACCTTCTGAGTATCTAAGCTATCCCTGCTACTGTCTTTCTGACCCTGGTACTCTTTCCCTGGTCAGTATGGCAACCTGGATGTGCGCAGCAGGACAGTGGAGGATGTCTATGTGGAGATGCTGAAGCCTAAGGACAATATTCGCCTGAAGGTGCAGTACCGCCAGGAGGAGTTCAACAGAGTCCAGGGCCTGCCTGGTGACAGCTTCTATATCAGGTGCCAGTAGTAAGGGCTAGGGCCAGGGGAGGGGCTCTCTGGAAAGTTCAGAGGGTAAATGGATTCCCTGGACTGTTTGCCCTGAGGGCTCAGGCCATCATTGGCATTACTTTTGCCTATGTGAGATGCTTTTTTGGGGGGAGGGGATAGTGGGATTCAAGACTGCAGGAATTTTGAGACCTTGAGCCCCTTACTCTGTGGGTTGTATTCCTGGTGTGGTCTTTCCTGAGTCTCACAGAGCCCTCTGCAGTATGCATGGATCTCAGGGTGCCCATGGTACCTATGTCCTGTGGGAATCTTGATGTAGGGATGGCATCAGGCATCTTCCATGAGTGGCTCAAGGGTCCATCCGGCCATGTCCCCCACAACCTGAGACCACAGAGTAGAAGAAAACATGCATGGGTGATACTTACTATTCTGCAGGTGGGAAGTGATATTTTTCCATTTATGAGAGGTACCAGTCTGCAGGAAGCAGAGGCTTTGATTTCTGAGACAGGTGGATAGAAAATGTCTGTTTGAAAGGACAGGCTGCAGGAAGTCTTTCTTCAGTGGAGATGAGCCCTTAGTGTTAGGGAGGAAAGGTGATATCTCTATCCTGCTCTGTAAAGTGTGTGAGAGGGGCCTCTTCAGAGTGCCCCAAATCCTTTTCTGTGGTATCTGGAGACAGCACAGACAGCTGCCTAAAGGGATGGGAGTATGCTGTGTCCTCCTCAACTGTGTCATCTGTTCCATGGTGCAGGGCCCTATATGACCGTCTGGCAGAAGTGGAGCCTGAACTGAGTTTTAAGAAAGATGACATCCTGTATGTGGATGACACATTGCCCCAGGGAATGTTTGGGTCCTGGATGGCTTGGCAGCTGGATGAGAATGCCCAGAAGATCCAGCGTGGGCAGATTCCCAGCAAATATGTGTAAGTCTTCTCCATCTCCAGGCAGGGACCACATGGGTCACCATTGTGGTATGGGACCTCACAGAATGACATTGGCCTTGGCTGCTGAGGGACTGACTCCTTTGGGAACTGCAGCTTCAGCACTGGACATGTGACCCAGATCACTGTCCTGAAAGCTGCTCCTGGATGGGCCAATACATAGAAGTCAGGATCTGTAACCTCCTAGACAGAGTCATAAAGCTGTAATTCCCTTACCAGATGAGTCCTATTAATGATGCCAGGGAATGTGTATTGACAGATATGTGCAACCTTCTCCACTATTATTCTCTTTACTGATTGATTGAGATAGGGTCTCATATAGCCCAGGCTGAACTCAAAGTGGCCTTAAACCGATTCTCCTGCCTCCATCTCTTGAGTGCTCAAATCATGGGCATGTGCCACAACACCCATTTTTATATGGTTCTGGGATTGAACTCAGGAGTCTTGAATATGCTAGGCAAGAACTTCACCAACTGGACTATTAACTATTAGGCTGAGAAATTCACAAGAAAAAGAGTGTTATTTATCTCACAGTTCTGGAGACTAAAAGTGTAAAGTCAGGTGACCTCATCTGTTCATCATCTGATGAAGACTTCATTGGCCACTTCACAATATGGTCAGGAAGCAGGAGGAAGGAAGAGATCCTGTGGCAAGCTAAGAAGTGTGTTAGTCTTCTATTGCTGTGAAGACACCATGGCCACAGCAACTCTTATAAAGAAAGCATTTAATTGGGGGCTTGCTCACAGTTTCAGAGGTTTAGTCCATGACCATCATGGTGGGGAGCATGGTAGCATGCAGGCAGACAGGGTGCTGGAGAAGGAGCTGAGAGTTCTACATCTGGATCTGCAGGCAGTAGGAAAAGAGACTCTGGAACTTTTGGCTTTGGACACCCCAAAGTCCACACCCAGTGACACACTTCCTCCAACAAGGTCACACCTCCTAATCCCACTCAAGTAGTACCATTCCCTGATGACCAAGCATTCAAATATATGGGCCTATGGGTGCCATTCTCACTCAAATCATCACAAAAACCAAAGAGAACTCATGTAGTCAGATTTTTCCTTGAGCCACCAGCTCATAAAAAACACAGACACTCCTTACTATTAATTATGGAAGCTCTACCTTAGCTTAGGCTTGTTCTGATAACTTAAATCAACCCACTTTTTTAAAATTTAATTTTATTTTTTTTAACTTTTTTAAAAATTTTAAACAGCTTGTTTTACATGTCAATCCCAGTTCCCTCTCCCTCCCCTCCTCCCGCACCTCCACCATCCCCCCCCGCCCAGCCTCCCACCCTATTGCCAATTCCTTCCACATAGGGGATATCTAGAGTCTATCATTTCATTCAGGGTAGGGTCCAGGCACTTCCCTAAGAGTCCAGGCAGAGAGAGCATCCCTCTTTGTGTTATGGACACACGATGTCTGTTAGTATTCGAGGGATAAACACTGATCCACTGCTCAGGACCCCATAGGTAGCCCAGGCCTCCCCATTAACTCTCACATTCAGGGGGTCTGGATCAGTCCCATGCTGGCCTCCCAGCTGTCGTCAACCCACATTATTAATCTATGTGACTTGGTTACCTTTACTCTGTACTGCCCATCCTATTTCCACTCTATCTGGCTGGCAACTCTGCCTTTCTTCACAGAGCTCTCTCTGTCCAGAAATTCCTGTTACACTTCCTGCCTATCTATTGGTCATGTAGCTTTTTATTAAGCCAATCACAGTGACACATCTTCACACAGTGCAAAGGAATATTCCACCACAGACGCAGGCCAGATTTGCTTTCTTTAATAACCTACCATTGGAGGAAGTAATGGATTCTGGGAGGATGTCATTGATCTTTTTCTGAAGATAAATGCCTAAGAATCTCCTTCAGAAGGAGATACCTAAGCAGTCTCCACCATGTGGTCTCTTAAAGACACCTCCATTTCAGTGTTAATACCCTAGGGATCCAGTCTCCTGTGGTGCCCACACCACTAGCAAGTCCGAGGTTTCGGGAAATGAAAGACAAGTCATCCAAACATTTGTGCTAAGAGAATACGTCTGCCGCCTTTATTGCCGGGGGGGGAGTGTGTGTCACACCTGTGTGTCTTTATTGCAAGTGCTAAGAGGTCTCTGGTCTCTTTCTCATAGAAAGGGAGCAGTCTTATATACAGGCTTACAGAACAGTGGAAAAAACTCCAGGTGGAAAGATTGTGTTTTCTTCGTGCTAGATATTGATGTCAGCGGGGCAATGCCAGGGCAGTAAACCAGGACTAGTAAACAGGATGCACCTGTGGCTATCAGCTGACAAACAACTCAGAGACCCTGTGGGAGCTAGGGCCCAATAGTCTCCAACAGTGTGTGGACCCTTAAGAGTCATAGTGAAACCCATAACCAAATCCCAGCACACTCTATCACACCCCCAGCCCAAAGCCACTCATCTACACTTAAAATCTATAGGTTTCTCTTTAAACATTTGATGTAAATGCAATCACATGGTTCATGTTAGTGTCCATACCTTCCATGGCAAGAAGCATAGCTAGCAGTGTCACTGGGCATGGTAGGAATTTACTTGATCTGAAGCTGGATCCTGCACTTCTTATTGCCATGGTGATGCCTGAGCATCCTGGGTTATGGGAAAGGCCAGTAGTTAGAAGGCTTGCAGGGAGAGTTTCTTCCCTTTCCATGGCTCTCCTAGCATTGTCATTCTCTGTGACTACAGGATGGACCAAGAGTTCTCAAGGAGGCTCAGTATGTCTGAGGTCAAAGACGACAACACAGCAAAAACACTGTCGGCAGCTGCACGTCGGTCCTTCTTCAGAAGGAAACATAAACACAAACACAGTGGGTCCAAAGATGGCAAGGACCTGCTCGCTCTGGATACCTTTTCCAATGACTCCATTCCGCTCTTTGAAGGCAAGTGTTGGGCTCATTCCAACGGGCTCTAGGTGTGGGGGTGGCAGGGTGCCAGAGCTTCACCGTGGAGGATTCCTTGCTTTTTGTGTACTTGTCTGGAGTGGGCATTTGGGCTGACAGGATGGTTCTGAGAGTCTGTCAGTTTCCGTGTGTGGCTTTAACCATCAAGGTCTCCTTTTGGCCACCATGTTTCTTTGTGCCTTCAGCCCTGTTTCAGGAAGGAGAAAGGGAAGGTGAGAGTGTCAGAGACTGGGGAGGAGGCTCCATGTGTGAAGTGCTTGCTAGGCAAGCTTGAGGACCCGAGTTCAGATCACATATAAAAAGCCAGCACTGGGAATGAAAGATGGAGGTGGCTTATGACCAGCCATCCTAGCTGAAATGTAAGGGCCCTGGGTCAGTGGACGTAGTTTCTGCTTCATGCATTGCATCTGGCTTGTGTTTGTCACTGCTCAGTCTTTCTGGCTTCATTCACATGTTCATTAGTGGTTGTGACATTCACATGTTCATTAGTGGCTGTGACATTCACATGTTCATTAGTGGCTGTGACATTCACATGTTCATTAGTGGTTGTGACAAGCTCCTTCCCAGAAGAATCTGAGTCAGGCTGGAGTTGAGGACTAGGAATGTCAAATAGCCTCCTAGAATATAGCCCTTGTAGAAGGAGGCCATTGGTCCTAAGTGGCAAGAGGTCCTTGTCATCAAAGTGGCTCCTGGGGCTGGGTATGTATTCACTGTCTTGGGCCGACAGGGTGTTGGGTCACTTGGCAGTAGATTGTGGGACAGATGGATTCCTCTTTCTTTTCATCTTTAAAATGAAGACCTTGCCAGGTGTGGTGGTGCACACCTTTAATCTCAGCACTTGGGAAGCAGAGGCAGGCAGATCTCTGTGAGTTCAACGGTACCCCAATCTACATAAAAAAATTACCAGGTCAGCAAGGGCTACATAGTGAGACCTTGTCTCAAAATAAATGTTCCCGGTCACCATCAGGCAGGCTGGGTAGACCACAGAAGTTCTAGTTTCCACTCTTTCTGTAAAACATGCAGCTTTCGTGTGAGATTTCACCCATGTAAATCTATAATTTAAAAAAAAATGTCATTTGGTGATAATGTTGGCTTACTATTCTGCTTTAACAGAGTTAAGCTGCTGTCATGTTATGATGAGGCTTGTCTTCTCTTTTGGGCTATGCTCTCAGACAGCCCCATAGGATCATCTCTTACGTATTTAGTGAGGGTCTGGTGGGTGTGTTTGTGTCAATTCCTTGAAATTTTGGCACTGCTTTTGTTTTTTTTTTTAATTTAAAATTTTATTTTTAATGTGTGTAGTGTTTTACCTGTATGTATGTATGTATGTATGTATGTATGTATGTATGTATGTATGGGCACCATGTGTGTGCAGTGCCTGCAGAGACCAAAAGAGGTGTCAGAACCCAAGGACTGGAGTTACAGGTGGGTGTGGTGTGAGCCACCATGTGGGTGCTGGGAACCCACCCCACTCCTCAGCCCGTGCTTTTAGTGGTTGAGCCGCCTCTCCAGTCTCACTGCTAATTCTGACGCTGTTATTAGAAACACATGCCTTCTGGAGTATTCTCTTTTCCTGCAGTGACCCTTTTGTCATTGGAAAACATCCTGATTTCCAGTAGTGTCCCCTTTAGAAAGTTTGTAATGTATGATATTTTGATATCTACTTTTGTTGTCTGTCTTAGTCTCCAAATCTTAACCTTTTTCTGGCTATCAAAGTTCACATTTTGCACTTCATTGCAGTTTTATGTGCTGTCCTGGAATAGGGAAGGGTAGAGTAGCTTTCATTTCACTTACTGTAGCAGCCAGTGTTTTAACACATTGTATCAAAGTATGACCTGAGTATCAGTGTGTACACGATAGCAGATGGAAGTTTCCACTTTCTGGGCAATCAGATAGATTAAAATATCACTGTCTTGTCTTTGTGTTTGCCTGCTCCACCTCTTTTATGCCCCCCCCATTTTGGGAATAATTAAGTATTTCTATTACCTCTCCAGTTTCAGTTTATAGTCTTTGGGAGATTTCAGTGTCCCTTACCACACGCACCTGGCTGATGGCTATCCCAGGCCATCAGTGGGACCAGTTTCCTGCGAGTCTGAAGCACTGGCCCACTCCACCTCCACCCATCACCATCCCAGCTTCCACAGCATTGCTGTTGTCACCTCAGTGTGCCCCAGCAGTTCTCAGTTTCTCTTCTCTCTTGCTGCTATTCACTCCTTTCCTGGTTCTGTTTGCCTGATCTTGTCATCTTTCTGCTTTCCTTCAACATTTTTCAGAATGTGTGTTTTGTGCTCAGTGATGCATTTTCTGTTTTGTCTGGCAATGTCTATTTTCCAGAATTTTCCGCTGTATATACCTTACGTTGGTGTTTAAAGATACACCTTGGTATGTCAGGGAGTTGGTACCAAGCCTCCTAGATATTCAGACCTGTAGGTGTTCTGGTAACTCATGTGAATCACCAGTGTGGAGTTTGATTATGGCCTAAGTGCATTCTCCACATACTTAAATTGTCTCTAGATTACTTAAAATACCTGTTTGAATATTTTCTATCCCCAATTGATTGAATCTGTGAACTCAAAACTGTGGATTCAGAAGGTTCACTGCATTTTATTTCAGCACTTTTAAGATATTCTTGACTAGGCGGTGGTAGCACATGCCTTTAATCCCAGCACTCGGGAGGCAGAGGCAGGTGGATCTCTGTGAGTTCGAGACCAGTCTCGTCTACAGAGTGAGTGCCAGGATAGGCTCCAAAGCTACACAGAGAAACCCTGTCTCAAAGAGAGAGAGAAAAGAAAGATCCCATTCTCAGAGCTGAGACAGATGGCTCAGAGGGTAAAGGAGCTTGCTGAGTAAGCCTGGTGACATAGTTTCATTCCCTGAACTCACATAGAGGTGTAAGGAAAAGCCTAGCTCTATGAATGTTAACTCTGACCTCCACATATGATAATGCATGCCCCCTGCCCCACACACATGTCATGCACAATTAGGAAAAACAATTCTGTTCAAGGAGCTGGAGAGATTGTTTCATGAGCAAAGTAAGTGCTGTACTAGACAAGTGCTAAGGACTAGAGTTCAGATCCCCATAGGAGAGCTATCAGTGAAGACACCCAACGCCTGCTTCTAACCTACACACACACACACACACACACACACACACACACACACACACACACACACACACAGAGGGGGATGTATTTATGGCTGCTGTAACAAATCACTGCCAACAGTAGTTTAAAATAATGTCTGCTCATTCAAATGTCTAAGACCAATGCCATCACACCAGTGTCAGGGTGCCAGCAGCCTCCGCTGCCCTGCAAAGCTCTATTGGATGAAATCTTGTCCTAGCCTTTGTTGCTTTTGAGCAGTGGCACCAACATTCTTTTGCTTGTGGACACATCACTATTATCTTGAAACCTCTTTCTACTCCTTCTTCCTGTCTATGCTATGTGTGCCTGTCTCAGAAATTCCCTTCTGACAGGAACACATGTGATGGCATCAACCCAGGAGAACTTTCTCACTAGAAAAGGTAAGAGTCACAGGTTGTTGGGATCAAGAAGTGTCTTGGCTGGTTTTGTGTCAGTTTGACAAGCTAGAGTCATCAGAGAAGAAGGAGCCTCATTTGAGGAAATGTTTCCATGAGATGCAGCTATAAGGCATTTTCTCAACTAGTGAGCAATTGGGAAGGACCCAGCTCATTGTGGGTGGTCCTGGGTTCTTCTGTAAGAAAGCAGACTAAGCAAGCCATGATGAGCAAGCCAGTAAGCAGCACCCTTCTATGCCCTCTGCGTCAGCTCCTGCCTCTAGGTTCCTGCCTTGTTTGAGTTCCTGTCCTAACTTCCCTCAGTGATGAACAGAACTGTAGAATTGTAAGCCAAATAAACCCTTTCATTGAAACTTGCTTTTTGTCATGGTGTTTTGTTGCAGCAGTAGAACCAGACTTAGGGTTTTTACTGCTGTGAAAAGATACCATGACCATGGAAACTCTTATAAAGGAAAACAGTTATTTGGGATGGTTCACTTATATTTTCAGAGGTTTAGTCCATTATCATCTTGGTGGGAAGCAAGGCAACATTCAGGCAGACAACATTGCTAGAGCTGAGAGCCCTTATAATCTTGACCTATAGGCAACAGGAAATGCTCTGTCTCACTTGGTGACATACTTCCTCCAACAAGGCCACACCTACTCCAACATCCACACCTCCTGTTATTGCCACTCCCACTTTTCTTCAGACTACCACAGAATGTTAAATGAGAACTGACTCAGCCCTTAGGGGTACATTTTGACCTACCACATGAAGTTTCTTGGAGGGTTCCTCTAATGTTTTCATGCTGAAGGTGATATCCCTTAGACCCAGTATTTTTGCATTGTCTCTGTTCCCAGCATCAGGCCTTGCTATGCTGCCCAGGTGTGTTTCCCTTCTTGTTCTTATGTATAGCTTGATGTTTGAGAAGACCCTAGGCCATCGTTTTCTTCAAGCTGCAGATTCTATGGTCTTCTCGCTTCTCTCCTGTTAGTTCCCTGGCCAAATTGGTCAGATTGGTCTCGTGTCTTCTGCATGCTCTCTCCTATTCTTTTCAAACCTTGTCTCTCGATGCTGCAGCCAAACAGGATGCTTCCCACTGACCTTTGCCCTGCTCACTGTCCAGCTCATCTTTGATGTCCAGTGTCTTAATTTGAGAAACTGCCTTGTCTAGTGCCAGAGTTTCCATCCAATGTTTGTAATAGACCTTCATTCTCCACCAAGACTTCCCCGATCTTGTTGTTTGTTATTAAAGACTCAGCATCTGTGAGGACTATCTGGCAGCTGCCCCGACTGGTCATCTCTGAGTCATGTTTGCTCTTCTCGGTCTGCTTCATAAATATGCCTGGAACTTGTTAGTTGAAATGTCAAGAAGAGGTGCCTTGGGAGCCAGCACCAGTGGCCACCTGGATCTAAAGGGAGGTTGAGCTAACCTCGACTGGGCTACAGCTTCTGTGCTGTGTGGAATTCACCCTGACTGCTAGACAGAGCTGGTACCTGGGTCTCAGCTCCATGGGGGCCTCCTCCCTGGGGCAGTCTTTCTCTTCTTCATACAAGAGTCAGTGGAACCCTTTGCTCTGTGGTTTTATGGTTTTTTGTTTGTTTGTTTGTTTCACATTTAGCTTCTTGTTCCTCAAAGCTTTGGAATTTGGCAAGGGTTACAGGGGAAGCCTCTGATTCAGACTTATTTCTTTTTCCTAATATATATGTGTATGTATGTGTTATGTATTATGTACATGTACACGTGTGTGTTTATGGTTGAGTATGTACTCAAAGAGGCCAGAAGAGGACTCTTTGCTTCTTTGAGACAGAGTCTCTCACTTAACCAGGAACTAGGTTGGCAGCCAGGAATCCCTCGTATCTCTGTACCCACATTGCTGGGGTCATACAGGTGGCCCTGCCTATCCTTTTACATGGGTGCTAGGGGTTTGGACTCTGAGCCGTGTCTCCAGCTTCCCAGGCTTAGCTCTTGCCTCCTCCCTTCACACCCCATTTTTGGCTCTTCAGGCTGTGGCTGCTGTGACTGCCCTGAAACCCCATGTCTGCCCCACTTGCTAGTGGGTGTTTTCTGCACACTCTGCCTGAGTCCTCAGTGTCTTGACAGCAGCTCTCTGCCCGGGTTTACATTTTACCTGTGCATGGAATATTGCAGAGTCCTCAGTGGAGGAGCATGAATTCCTGTGACAAGTTTAGAAACAATCTGAGGGGGAGATGGCGCTACAAGCCATCATAGTTTCATGTCTTTTTTGTCGAATGTAGCACTTCCCACACACATACATGCTATTTTCTTGTTGTTTTCTTGTCAGCCCATAAAAATCAGCTTAAAGAGTCATGTGGGAAAGACACACAGATCAGAGTAATGGCTGTAACTAAGGAGGCTAGTGTGGAGGGGGCAGCAATAATGGCTGTATCTCTGTCTCTTAATTTTTTAAAAGAGAAAGTGCATAGGCATTCCAAGGCCATGAATGTAGACCACAGACCAGCTGGTGTCCAGGTTAGGCAGTACCTATAGAAACTTGTGTAATCAATCTTCAAGTACAAGCACACAGGCATATGATGAGTGTTGTAAGGCAAGACTCTATTCATGTTCTTTGTTCTGCCCACGGGGTTGGTCTCTGTAGAGCGTGGGTGTTTGCGTCTCCAGGTAGGTGTGCCACAGTCTTCTGTCTGTAGCACCACCACAAAAGTGTGCAGACCCAGAGTCCTGCCCTTCCTGAATCTGGGTGCCACAGTCACCTTGTGCCCTCTTCCAGCCTGTTCTCTGCTCCCATTTTAGACTGGTCTCTCATCCAGTTTGAGCAAGCTCACCCCAGCGCTCCCCTAACTCGTTTAGTCTCAGACCTGGACTCCCAATTTTGCATTTGTCTGGGCGTCTTGATCCTTTGTGGCCCCAGTTAGTGTGAGCTTCCAAAATGCAGAGACTGGATGTCTTGTATCTTGTGTTTCTGAGAAGCCAGCACACACCATCAAGGAGTCTCTAGGCAGGCAGTTGCCTGCTATCTTCCTGACCGTCTCTTCCTATGAGAACTTTGTGCACTTGGTGAGGGAGTTCACTTAGGGTGTTAACTAGGAAAGTGGCTTGATCACTAGAGCTAAGCTAGCTGAAGCCTCACAGAGAGCTCATCTGTGTGCCACATACAGTCTGAGGTGGGGGCAGGCCAGGGGAAGTGGCCCTGTGTTGAAAACCCAGGCCCCTCCAGTCTTCTGTCTCAGACAATTCCTAAGGGTTACCACCGTCTGTATGGGCAGAGCTGGCTCACAGCACCACCTTTTCTGGTCCATGGGCAGAGGCTGAAGAGTAATTGCATCTCCTCTATCTTCATGTCCAGGTATGGCTCATATAACCATACCTATGGAGGAGGCTGTGGCTTCCAAACCTGGGAGCCACATCCCGAGTGAGCAGAGGAAGATGTGAGTGTGGGGGCAGTGGGCGTGGGATAACTGAGGAAGACCTGGAGTAGAGCAAGATGATGGAGTAGAGTAAGATGATTGGACATCCATTGTCCCCAGTCTCCTCAGTGACTTCATTAGTGATTGTGCCCTGGTGTGCCTGACATGTGAGACTGGTCCTGATAAAATCAGCATCTGATTTAAAATCGGTCACCTCGCTGGCCTCATTTTGTGAGACAAAGAAGACAGGCCTGTCTAGGTAGCTGAGGTCAGGGTAGGCCTATCTAGATGAGCAAGGCCAGAGCTCATCTTGTCCAGCTCCGCTTTTTTCCTCTGTCCAGGCTGGGCCCGTGACCCTGCCCCCTCTTGTCTCTTAGATTCGGTGAGCCTGGCCTATCAGCGGGTCCAGAAGGTGGACTGTCCCTCTCTGCGGCCGGTCCTTATCTTGGGGCCTCTACTGGATGTGGTGAAAGAGATGCTAGTGAATGAAGCACCTGGCAGGTTCTGCAGATGCCCGCTCGGTAAGGGTCCCCGTGCTGACGAGGCTGTGTCTGTCCTCTCTGCCGACCTCTCTGAGCGTGTAGAGTAATGGTGCACAGAGTCTAGTGAATGAAGCACCTGGCAGGTTCTGCAGATGCCCGCTCAGTAAGGGTCCCCGTGCTGACGAGGCTGTGTCTGTCCTCTCTGCCGACCTCTCTGACCGTGTAGAGTAATGGTGCACAGAGTCTAGGGTCCTGCTGATGCAGGGAGGCCCACCTGTGGCCCCCCTTCTCTCCAGGAGAGCAGACAGTAGTGTGGGTCCCCATGCTGCTGATCAGTATTGCTCTCTGCGCCCAGCACCCTGACTTCTGCGTCTTACCATACAGAGGTGATGAAGGCTTCCCAACAAGCCATTGAGCGGGGCGTCAAAGACTGCCTGTTTGTGGACTACAAGCGGAGGAGTGGCCATTTTGATGTTACCACCGTGGCTTCAATAAAGGAGATCACAGAAAAGGTACATAGGGCTTTGACCCAAGGGCTGGTCTCCTCTTCTATCTGGGGCCCTGTGTCCTGGCTCTTACACCTCAGCCACTGAGGCCTCCTGCCTTTGGTCTCATCCTCCTGGATACTGTGAGTCTCTGCCTTCACTACTAGCACATAGATACATGGGACGGACCTAGGAGTCACTAGTACTTTGGTTTCCTGCTTCCTCTGCTCTCTGAAGGGCACTGAGGTGAGCTTTGAACTAGAGGCCTCCTAGACCATTCTGGGGTGGGTCCCTGAACACATGGATAACATGGATACAGAGAGCCACCTGCCAGGTCTCTGACTCCATAAAGGCCAAGAGTGTTTCTTGATGCTTTTGACATCCTGGGGTCCATTTGCCAAGGAGTGGGTTAGCTACAGGGTGTGCTAGGGAAGTAGCCAGTCCTACCTGCTCCTCAGCCTCTGACCTCTGGCCTTCTCTAGCTACTTCTCAGAGCTATAGTTCCCTCTTCTACCAGACAATGTGAGCTGCTCACAGTTGGAAATGCTTACTACTTTTTTGATGGGGATAAGCTTCAGTGAGGAAACATCCACCAAGAGAGCTGCACACAGGATGCCTGTGGTCTTTGTTAGGTTGACTCCCTTCTTAGAGGCTGAGGGACTGACTCATGGGGTCTATTTCTGTGATAGCCATGCAAAACTTGTATGCCCCACTCCATGAATCCCAAAGTCTCCAGTCTTGTTCAGAGTAGCAGATTAGTTAGGGTTTCTATGGTTGCAATGAAACACCATAACCTAAAAGCAAACTGGGGAGGAGAGGGTTGATTTGGCTTATACTCCCACATTGCTGTTCATCACTAAAGGATGTCAGGACAGGAACTCAAACAGGGCAGGAGCTGATGCAGAGGCCATGAAGGGGAGCTGCTTTTACTGGCTTGCTCCCCATGACTTGCTCAGAACACCTTCTTATAGAATCCAGGACCAACAGCCCAGGGATTGCACCATGCACATGGGCTTTCCCCCATTGATCACTAATAGAGAAAATGCCTTACAGTTGGATCTCGTCAAGGCATTTCCCCAACTGACAACTCTAGCTTGTGTCAAGCTGATACACAAAACCAGTCAGTATAGTCCCCATGTTGAGGCATGGCTTCCTGACCAGTTCCCACTCCCACCTCAGCAGCCATGGGGGTGGGGAGTATCTACCAATGGTCTCCCTTCCTGTCTTAAGTGGTCTACCAGAAATCCTCCTCCTGCTGCTGCTTGGTGTTTTGGAAGGCAGAGTTGTGTGGGGCAAGGGTGAGTCCTTGCAGGGTGGGCGTGTGTCCTCTCGGCTGCCCTGCATACTCACATTACACCGTTGTCCCTCAGAACCGGCACTGTCTTCTGGACATCGGCCCGCATGCCATTGAGAGGCTGCATCATATGCACATCTACCCCATTGTCATCTTCATCCGCTACAAGAGCGCCAAGCACATCAAGTGGGTGTCTGCCCCATTGAGTTCCTGCTGGGGTTGGGTCCTGGACTGGAACACTTAACACTATGCAAAGGCAACGTTAGCCAAGCTTAACACCTCCTTCCTGTTTGGGTACAAGCACACTTCTAGAGAATGGCTGGTTTTGTCTGCAGAGCTCCCATCCGTCCATCCCTGTTCCCTTCAGCATGCTGTGCAGAGGCCAAGGGAACTGGGTAGCTAAGTCCAGCTCAGCTGCACTCACGAAGGTCCCTTCTCCACTTGGTTTTTCTGTGCTGTTGAGCTGGTGTCCATGTTTGGAGACGGCTAGTGTGTCTTATGGCTTTGCCCATGTCCTGGGGTACTGAGGTGCCCAGATTCCCTATCATCCCACAGTTTCCATATAGCCTAGAGGCTACTAATTTATGGGAAAGCACCCTAGATCCCCTGCCCTAGCCCAACCCTATCTTCCTGGATGTCTCTGACACCCTGGACCAAGGAAGGAAGAGGGGACCCAGGGATAGGTTTAAGACTAGTTCCCTGGCTGTCCCTACAGAGAGCAGAGAGACCCTGTCTACTTGAGGGACAAGGTGACGCAGAGGCATTCCAAAGAGCAATTTGAGACGGCACAGAAGATCGATCAAGAGTACAGCAGGTACTTCACAGGTAAGTGGGTATGTGCCCAGCCAGGAGCAGAGGGTTTCCTCAGGTGACACTCCTAGGAAAGACAGCCGCCCAACTTTCCTGGACAGGCTGGACTGAGCAGCCACATACCCTTTTGTTACATAGACATTTGGCCCACAGGTCCAGGCCAGTATCCAAGCTGTGCCAAGTGGCAGGGTTATGCTCGCTGGCCTTTGGGCTTGGTCTAGCCTTATTCACAAGCAGTAGGAGCTATCTCAGCACAAACAACCAACAGCATGGCCGTGGTGACCCCCAGACAGGTTGGGAAACCCTAAGAACCCAGGTGAGCCAGCAGTGCAGACAGCTATCTATCCTGAGTGCTGCTCAGGCCCAGTCTTGGGGGAGTGAGGGGTGAGGTGGTTTGGTAAGGCAAGGCCAGTCTCAGCATCTCTGGTTGCCAGTGAGACCTGTGGATACAGCAGGTTTCCAGCTTCCCCGCCTCTCCTGAGTAAAGTCAACCATTTGTAGGAGCTAGTAGGGGCACTTTAGAACATCACAGGAAGGGTTAGGACCAGCCTGGTCCCGTTTTCACTTCCACTTTATTACAGACCAGTAGACCAATAGAAAAAAAGAAAATGTTAAAAACTGCTGGGCGGTGATGGCACACACCTTTAATCCCAGCACTTGGGAGGCAGAGGCAGGAGGATCTCTGTGAGTTTGAGGCCAGCCTGATCTACCAGAGTTCCAGGACAGGCTCCAAAGCTATACAGAGAATCCCTGTCTGGAAAAACAAAAACAAAAACCAAAATGCCCGAACTTAAATATATACTGATTTTTAAAAATTAGGTTAAACAGAAATAAAATTATATAAACTTCATTGCTTTCTGAATGTACCTGGCCCTCTGGGGGTGTACTCTGCCTGCTGTGTCCTGGAGTAGCACTAGCCTGCCAACCTGGGCACTATCCTCCCCCCAGCAGAGCCCTGCTGCCAGTAATACCATCCTAACATGCCCCCAGGATGCTTCTCCATATACTGTCCAGTTGCCATTCCCCCTCCCCAGTAGAGGGCAGGCCAGTAGAGGGCAGGCTGGTCCCCCCCTCCTCCCCCCCCACCGTGCCCCTTGCCACCCTAAGTCATTGTGCTGGACAGTTTGGGAGCAGTCAGCTTCCCCAGGTCTCCTTTGCCCGGTTTCCTACAGACAAGCAAACAGTCTCCATTTCCCTTACTGGGTGGGAATGTCTTACTTGGAGCTGATCTAGCCTGTGTTTGGTGGGCTTTTCTGCAGGGGTTGTCCAAGGTGGAGCCCTGTCGGGCATTTGCGCTCAGATCCTGGCAATGGTCAATCAAGAACAAAGTAAAGTCCTGTGGATCCCTGCTTGCCCACCCTAGCAGAAAACTGTGCCAGAGGCGCCTCCATGACCAGAGGACAGCTGGATGGCTCTTTCCTAGCCCCAGAGAGGTCTGTCTGTCTATGGACCTGGAACCAGGACTGCACGAACACCTCCTTTGTAGACGGAGAGCCCCCAAAATTTGGGCCCAGCTGGTGGATGGCACTATTCACACGTCCACTTTGAAACATAAAAGCAAACACAAAAGACTTGATCCTCCCAGAGGCGCTGTGCCCAGGGCCTTGCTGGTCACAAGTTTACAAGCCTTTTCTAAGTATTTGGTTGTTTATGTTTACTTGAATGGCTCCATGTTGGTGCCAAGCCCCTGATCCCAATCCCTCTGTCACTCCCTGTTGGTTTGATGTTCCTGTCTTGGGCAGGACAGTTCTGGAACCTCATTGGGGGTGGGGTGGTGTTGCTTTGTTTTAGGAAGTTTCTGTCAGTGGGACCAGAGTTTTGACAGACTTCCTGCTCCTCAGTGGTCCCTCTCCTGGAAGACATCACCACTGCAGGTGCTCAGCGCACTTGTTGGTACCAGAACCAGCGCCCTGGTGGGACCAACTTGCCATGGCAGCGCTTTCCTCCAGTACACGGAAGGCAGCTTTGCATTCTTGCAGCTTCTCCTCCTGGCCTTCCTACTCGCCCCCTGGCCCCTTGTTTCTTCTCCAGCTGCATTTCTATTTAAACATCACGTCTAGTCCACCAGAGCCTCGAGCTTCCTCAGTGATGCAGTTGGGTCCTCAGCATGGGGCATGGGCATGCCATTTCTTCCTGTAGGCTTGGAGATGCCGGGAAGCCTTTGCCAGTACAAGGTGGCAGGGTAACCCTTACACTGGCACAGATGTACCAGCTCTTTCTGGCTTGAAGCTACTCATCTATTGAAAACCCAAGAAGAAAAGACGTTTTCTCAACATTCTTAGCCCGACTCCACGAAGACATCTCCATTGTTGGGTCGTCCCCGTGTCCCCGTCCCGTCGTCCCGTCCCGCCGTCCCCCCCCCCGTCCCCCCCGCCTTCTGATGCCAGATCTATTTTGGTAAAGAGCTGATGCGCTCCCTTCATCAACTGTGTGTCCTATTAATAGGTACTGTACTGGGTTCTGTGTGTCACTGGGGTAGGACCTATATTTTAATACTGTTCCTAACATTTCATTTTATTAGCAAGAAATCTTTAATTTCATTTTATTCTTTGTAATTCTAGACATTAGATTGTAGTTTAGCCATTTTTTAAAGGGATGTATTTTCTTGCACAGCTGTTTAAAAAGAGAGCGAGAGTTGCAGCCCTCCAGGCTGTCCTGTGCCTTACAGGCACACATTTTCTAGCTCAGACAACTGACAGACGCTGCTGACCACTCTCAAGGTCTTACTTGCACAGTTGTGGGACAAGGACTATTTTCCTGGTCATAGGGCCCAGGCAGGTATGGATCTGACAGGTGGGATACGCTGTACTAAAATGTTACTTTGTATCAAAAATAAAACAGACTTGAGTACAACAAATGAAGGTCATTTTGTGTAACCTGTGTGTGCAAATACCTGTGGATGGTGTGGATGCAGCTCTCCATTCTGCTCAACCTGTGTGCACACCCTCCCCCTTCCCCTCTCCCCCTCCCCCTTCCTTCCCTCCAAAAGCAGGCTGTGCTGCTTCTGTCAGTGGAGTCTGTGTAGCTCCTCTCCTGGAACCCTCCGGCCGATGAACTGAGGTTCAGTGACAAGCAGTAGTCCACTACCTGGTGCGTCCACCTCTGCCTGACTCCTGTCATGCCCTGCTTGTCTGTCATTTGCCCAGTCGTGCTTTGGACCAGGTTTGCAGCTACACAGCTCTCAAATCCTTGTGTTCAGGCCTCCAAGTGTGAAGCTATGCTACGGAAAGCAAAGAGGACTGAACTGAGCATTTTGGGGAGAACCCAGAGTGTCCGCATTGGCTGTGCTATAAGAAGTCTCAGGTTGGAAGTGACCGACCTAGCTTGGGACCGTTGTCAAAACCTCAGAGTATCACATTGTAGCACCCAGAACTCCAGGGCCTCAGGCAGACTGCAGAGGAAGCAAGTGTGAGCCCCAAGTGCCGGAAGACTTGGGAAAGTGGACGGAGAGGCATGGCTCAGGCCGAGGGTAGAGCCTGCCTCTGCTATCCCTTTTTTTGCTTGTATGTATGTGTTTGTGTGTGTGCATGGGCACACTTGCTGTGGGTATGTATGTAAAGGTCAGAGGTCAGTGTCAGGAGTCTCCCATTATCACTCTCTACCTTATTTTTTGAGATGGGTCTCATTGAACCTGGAGCTCACTGATCTCTTAGACTCTCCGACTATTAAGCCCCAAGGATTCTTCTATCCACCTTCATAGTTACAGATCATCACCTCTGCCTCTTCTTTACTTTTATTTTTAAGCATGGGTGCTGGGATCTTAATTCAGGCTCTTATGCTTGCACAGCAAAGCATTTTACCTACTGAGCTGTCACCCCAGCTTTTGTCTGCCTCTTGTGTTTGGGGGGGCTCAGGGGTAGGATGGTCTGCCAAAGCCCCTGCTAGTGTGGTGGTAGACTTGGTATTGATGCCTCCCTCTTCCTGTTGCAACAAGGTCCACTGTGTCCAGTGTGGCAATGCATGGGGTGACTCAGATCATCCAGGAAAGGCCAAGCTGACATGATGGTATCCTCAGCCTCAGTGTTTGTACCTAAAGAGAGTGAAACATGGATGGGTTTTCTATCAGTTACTTTTCATGTAAATGCAGGTCCTGCAGAGAGCAGTCTGAAGAAGGCTTTACTCTGGCTTACAGTTGGGGATCCTTCCATCATGCTGGGGGTGGTATGGCAGCAAGAACAGGAGGCTGACCAGATACATTCCTCTGCAGTCTGGAAGCAGGGAGGAAACAGGAAGTGAGACCAAGCTATAGAACATCAAAGGCCACTCCTCAGTGAGTGACCTACCACCTCTAGCAAGGCTCTGCTTTTCAGGGGTTCCACAAACTCTCCAAACAGTGCTACTGTCTGAACTTTTGAAAAACATTTTACATTCAAACCACAACCACCTCTAAGGCCACTTGCTGTGATGCAGGTGAGGGGATGATTCTGGAAGGCTTAATGCTTAGAATTAGCAAAGGCTTGCAGCGAGTGCCACTTTAAAGGTAGAGGCCCAGGTTTGGGAGCTGGATTCCAACAGGTCAGGGACCTGGGCCTCTCTCCCTGCCAAAGAGGCAGTCTTGGAACTGATTGCAAAGCAGCAGGTTTGTGGGAGGGAGCTTCATTCTGGGAGCTTGAGAGGCCACCCGCTTTGATGTAGACAGAACCAGAGATGCATTTGGGTCGCATTCCAAGGATAACAGAAACAATAAAATGTACTACATGAGGGTCACCAGGGCTGCACTTCTCGAGATCCGCAGGGCTCCCAAGGCAGGAACCTCCTTCCCTGCATCCTGTCATCGACTGTTGGGTGTCTTCCGCTTTCACAGTACCTTAATCCACCCACCCTATCACCTATCTGTTGTCTGTCTGTCTGTCATCTATCTAAGGCATCATCCTCCACTTCCATAGTCCTATATATTACCTAGTATCTGTCCATCCATCTATTTATCCATGCCCACACACACATCGATTTAAATCTAGGTTCCACATATGAGAGAAAATACTGTTTCCAAGTCTGACTTAAAAATGTCATAGCTTGATCTGGGCTATTGTAAATTGTGCAACACTGACTCACAATCTTGGATATATATACACTCAGGAGTAGAATAGCTGGATTATATGATAATTCTGCATTCTGTTGTCAGGAACCACACCCGATTTCCATAGAGGTTGCACCAGACTGCACTCCCACTAGATTGTATAAATATTCGCTTTCTCAGAATCCTCAGCACCGTTTGTTTTCTTGATAACCATTCTAACTAGGCTGAGATGGATGGTCAAAACATCTTCCTTTTTAATTTTTTTGATGACTAAACATGTTGAAGATGTTGAACACTGCTTTCAATCACTTCTTGGGCATTTTTAATTTGAGACAGTCCCACTGTCAATTCGTGGGATTATTTTGCCCATGAAGAAAACTTCAAGTGTTTTACCTGTGTTCCTTCAGCGATCGCAGATTTTTTTCAAGTTTAATATTAAGGTCTTTGATCCATTTTGAATTGATTTTTGTGCAGGGAGACAGATAAGGGTTTGATTTCATTTTTTCACATGTCATACCCAATGTTTCTTTAGCACCATTTTTCAAAGAGCCCCCATAATGTGTTTATATAGTTTTAAAATAAATTTTATTATAAAAACCAGGCAAATAGAAAAGATCACACACCAGAATTAACCAAACCCAAAGTCTAGCCATCTCTGTGAAATTTTTAGTTAAAACATCTATCCTGAGCTTCACACTGGATACACTTTTACTGTCAAATATATTTTATGCACTTAACCACCACCCAAACTGAAAAGCTGATGACACAGTTAAAACTAGAAAACCACTTAGCATTATGTCATAACTCATGTCCATTATCTGCATTTGGTCTTCCTTGTCCCTTAATAGAAATCCTTCCTTGTCCTCATTTCTGTGTTATGCTGTATGTACATATACATGGTAGGGTGTGGGGTCCTTTGGCTATATGCCCCAGAATGAAACTGTTGGATCATAAGGTAGTTCTATTTTTAATTTTTTTTATCATTTTTTATTTTAATTTTAAATAGCTTGTTTTACATGTCAATCCCAGTTCCCTCTCCCTCCCCTCTTCCCGCACTCCCCTTCCCCCCCCTCCCTCCCACGCTATTGCCAAATCCTTCCACATAGGGGATATCTAGAGTCTGTCATTTTACTCTTGGTAGGGTCAAGGCACTCCCCTAAGAGTCCAGGCTGAGAGAGCATCTCTCTTTGTGCTATAGGCACATGAAGACAGTTTGTATACCAGGGATAGACACTGAGCCACAGCTCAGGGCCCCATAGGTTGCCCAGGCCTTCTCACTGACACTCACATTTGGGGGGGTCCAGATCAGTCCCATGCTGGCCTCCTCACTGTCGGTCTGGGGTCCAAGAGCACTCCCCTGTTCAGATCAGCTGTCTCTGCTGGTTTTGCCGGCCCATTCTTTGCCAATTTGCTCATCACTCCTCTCTTTCTGTCACTGGGTTCCTTGGGTTCAGTTCAGTGATTAGTTGTGTGTTTGCCTCTGCTTCCATCAGTCACAGGATGAAGGCTCCCGGATGGTTATAGACATCAAGTTCATTATCAGGAATGGGCATTCGAGGTGGTCCCTCCACTATTGCTTAGCTTGCCAATTGATGTTATACCTTTGGATCACTCGAGGTCACTCTGGTGCCTGATCTGTCTTCGATCCTATGATTCCCTCTTCCCCCTATTCTACCCCCACCCCCTCAACTTCCTGTTCCCCCATGACCAACTCCCTTCCTCTTTACCCCCTCTATTCTTCCCAGGTCCCACTCCCCCCGACCCCTCGCCGTGTTCCCCATCCATTCAGAGGATCTTGTCTCCATCCTCTTCTCTTGGGTACTATGCATATATGCATATCTTTTAGGTTCTTTCCTGTTTCCCAGACTCTCTATCTGTGGAAGTGCAGACTGGCACTATCCTGATCCATATCTAAAATCCATATATGAGTGAGTACATACCATGTTTGTCTTTTTGCGACTGGGTTACCTCACTCAGGATGGTTTCTTCCAGTGCTATCCATTTCCCTGCGAATTTCAAGATTCCATTGTTTTTTTCTGCTGAGTAATACTCCATTGTGTAAATGTACCACATTTTCTCTATCCACTCTTCAGTTGAGGGGCATCTAGGTTGCTTCCAGGTTCTGGCTATTACAAACAATGCTGCTATGAACATAGTGGAGCAGATGCCCTTGTTGTATGAACCTGCCTCATTTGGATAAATGCCTAAGAGTGGAATTGCTGGGTCTAGTGGTAGATTAATTCCCATTTTCCAATTTCCATAATGGCTGTACTAATTTGCACTCCCACCAGCAGTGAATAAGGGTTCATCTCTCCACATCAGATTTGATGAAAGCCATTCTGACTAGAGTAAGGGGCTGTCTCAAGAGTAGTTTTAACTTGCATTTTTCTGGTGGATAAGAGATATTGACTACTTCAAAAAAAGTATTGGCCATTTGTGTTTCTTTTTGTGAAAACTGTCTATTCAGTCCACTTGCCCATTTGTTGATTGTCAATTTTATTCCTTTGGTATTTAATTCCTTCAGTTCTTTGTAAATTCAGCCCCTCATCTGAAATGTAACAGGTGAAGATTTTCTCCCATTCGGTGGGCTGTCTGTTTCCTTTGGTGTAGGAGACCTTTTATCCAGTTTTCCCCAGCACCGTTTATTTGCTGAAGAGGCTTTCTCCCATTGTTACGGAATATGTGACTATAACTGTGTGGAGTTATTCCTTAGTCTTCTACTTTGTTTCCCTGGTCTGCTTTTATGCTATAGCCATGCTGTCTGTATTACTATAGCTCTGTAGTGTAACTTCAGACAGGGTGGGGGCAGTGATAACCGCAGCATCCCTCTTTCAGTTTAACATGGTTTTTATATTTTATTTTCTGCTTCCATATGCTTTTAGAATTTTTTTCTAGTTCTGTAAGAAAATGTCACTGGAATTTTAAAAGGGGCCACAAAGAATCTATGCACCACTTTAGGTAAGACAGCTACTTTTGCATTCATTCACTTCTTTTCGAAGACACTGAATGGCATCTCTCTTTTTTTTTCCTAATTTCTTCGCTGGCAAGTTTATTGTCAATGTCTAGAAAAGCTACTGGTCTCTGTTCATTTCTTTTCTATCCTACTGCCTTGCTAGGGGATTTTTGGTGGCGTTTTTAAGGTTTGGGTGTTTACTGCATGCTCACTCTGTGCACATGGTGCCTGTGGGGGCCCGAAGAGGGCTTCTGACCCTCTGGGATCAGAATTAGAGATGGTTGGGAGTCACCATGTGGGTCCCAGGAGCCAAGCCTGGATCCACTCTAAGAGCAACAAGTGTTCTTTTTTTTCTTCTCTCTTTTTAAAAATTCTATGTATCTGTTACATCATGTATCTTGATCCCATTCATTTCCCCATCCCTTCATATCTGCCCTCTGCCCCTGCATGCCAGTTCCCCCCAAAACCCCAAAATTTAAGACACAAAGGGAAGAAAAAAAGGAAAAATCTCACCGTGGAAGCTGCAGTAACCCCCAGTTGTGCAGTAAACCCCTTTACTTACAGGTGTTCGCTGCAAAGAGTCATTGATCTGGTTCCAGGCCTCTGGTTTCTATTATTCTATCACTGCCGGACCCTCACTGGGACTGCTCGTGCTTGTCCTGCTGTTGCCCTGTGTTGTGGAGATCCTGCACGTGCTCCAGTAGATTGTAGATTCTAGTCCTGGGCAGCTGCAAGGTTTATCCTCCCTGTTCTCCCCTGTCCTCACCAATAGGGTGAGCTTTCCAGCATTGCTCTAGCTAGTTCACCTCTCTCATCAATGAATTCGGGGTGGGGTCAGTGTTCCTGCTTTCATACCTTCATGGTGATGATTCTCCCAGACCCAAGTCATGGGGAGGTACACGGGCTACTTTCCCAGTGGTGCAGATGGTGGGGGACAGGGACAACCCTCCAGGAATTATGGCCAGCTCCTCCACCTGTCTCAGGCGTTGATGGCCATGGCCGGAAGGGGGTGTGGGGGAGGGCACCTTTCCTCCCTCCATGTGCCACATGTCAGGTGAGTAACGGGGGCAGCTCTCCCTTGCTCACAGCATCAGGGCTGGCTGAATCACCTCTACCTCCAACCACTGGGCCAGCTTCTAAGACACACAAAGTCCAATGATTTCTCTCGTTTTCCCTGGTGGCTTTGCCAGTGCTCTCAGGATTTCAGGGTTTTATTTAAGACTCAGAAGTCTAATCCTGCCAAGGCAGGAGAGAGAGAAGCTTTGATTATCTTCTCTAAGATCCCTGAACAAATCTTGGACAAAATCTTTGGTTTAGGCTAGCTGGGTAATATGAGTAATAAGCTTTGCAGACTTAGATTCTAGGATGAATTTATTGATGAGAAATGACCATCCAGTCTCAAAGGGAGTAAGCCCTCATTTATCCTTGGGTGAGGATGTGTTTCTGATGTGGGTTAAGGCAAGAAGCAAGAGTAGGACCCATGAGGGGAGGGGTTCTGATAGTGCCTCTTAAGAAGTCCTCATGACTGGGGCTGGAGAGATGTCACAGCAGTGAAGACCTCAATCTGCTCTTGCTGAGGACCCAAGTTTGGCTGCCAGAACCCTTGTAAGGGGTGGCTCACAACTGCCTGTAACTCCAGCTCCAGGGGGTACCTGGACAGGTACCTGGACTCATGTATACAAACTCAAACAGACACATACACATCATTTTGTAGAAGTAAATATTAAAAAAAAAAAGAAGTCCTTATGGTTGTACTTTTGTGCACATTGCAGTGTAAAATTAACCTTTTTTTTTTTTTGTGAAGTCTGGCTGAGGTCCTCTTGGGTCATTTTGGTCTAGGGAGAAGTAGGCCTCTTTTAGCAACATGTCTTAGAACCCTCTAGCATCTATTTAACCTTAGAGAACCAGGGCAAAACAGTCCCCTTTGTGCCTCTGACTATATTAATACAGGCCTCCAGGTTACTGAACACCAAAAAAGGTAAGTTACACCAATGTGATATCTCTAAGTCCTGTGTAACATTTTAGCTAAAGCTTGGGCAAAAACAAAGCACATTTAAATAAATCCTGATTAGAAATGCATTTTTGGCCGGGCGTTGGTGGCGCACGCCTTTAATCCCAGCACTTGGGAGGCAGAGGCAGGCGGATCTCTGTGAGTTCGAGGCCAGCCTGGTCTACAGAGTGAGTTCCAGGACAGCCTCCAAAGCCACAGAGAAACCCTGTCTCGAAAAACCAAAAAAAAAAAAAAAAAAAAAAAAAAAAGAAATGCATTTTTGTTGTTTGCTGTGGAATATTCTTTTACACTGTGTGAACATATGTCGCTGTGATTGGTTTAATTAACAAGCTGACTGGCCAATAGAAGAACAGGACACAGTTAGGCAGGAAAGTCAAACTGAGAATGGTGGGGTGAGGAAGGACAGAGTCAGAGGAGTCACCAGCAGACACAGGGAGCAGGAGATAAACGTGCCATACTAATAGAGGCACTGCCACGTGGCAGATCGTAAATAAGGAATGTGGGTTAACTTAAATGTAAGAGCTAGTTACAAATAAGCCTGAGAGCATTTACCATTAATGTAAGACTCTGTTTGGTAGCAGCTCCCAGGACAAGAAAACACCCCCTACAGTTCTCTTTGCAAAGTGAGATGGAAATCTCAAAAAAAAAATGGTCACACCACCCTAAGTGTTTGGGGAAGACAAAACGTTTTACTCCTGCAAAAGAGTGCCATGCCAAACCAAGGAGGCCAGGAAGCACAGCCAGTGGAGGCCCACTGGGCGTTTTAATTCCACATGCAAAAGTGTCAGAGCTCAGCCTAATACTCTCATGTGATTGGCTGGTTTAAAGAGACTAGCTGATAAGCAGAAAGCAACTTTTAGTCCCAAGGGCAACCTTGAGCACATACTTGGATTTCAAGGAATGATGACCGTGAAGAAATTTAAATTTCTGCCAAATGGCTTCTTTACAATTCTTTATAATGACGTTTTGTCTTGTTTAATCCTTTGATAGAAAAGATAGTACACTTCTTTTATACTGCTCACATTCTCTAAGCACATGATGCAAAGAGCTGGTTCAGTAGTAACACACATGTTGCAGAAGTAGCCAGCCACTCTGATTGGATGTAAGGCCTACTCCATGAAATGGAGCCCATGTCTGCCACCTGACATCTAACACATAACACTGCTTGAGTGGCTAAGAACCTGAGACTAGATAGGCCAGTGTGCAGAGAGTTTGCGATGTCTTCACCAAACCCCTCCCTTCAGAGCTCAGGGAGCTATGCAGAAGATGAAGATGAAAGATTGTAAGAGCCAGAGGGGATAGATGACACTAAGGAAACTGTCTTCCAGACACCTAACACACATGAACTCACTGAGACTGTGAAAGTATATACAGTGCCTGTCTAGATTCATGTCAGATCGAAGTGGATACAACTCTCATCCCTAACTATTAAGCTGTCTCCTCCCACTGGCATTCACTTGCAAAGGAAAAGTTAGTTTTCTCCAATGGAGTCTCACTGGATATATTAACCACACATAAAGGTAACCTCTACACCCAGGCCAGCACAGAATTAACTGAGTGGTTCTTGTGAAGTCATTTTTTCTTATATTCCTTATATTCCTTAGTTTGAGCTTTATTTTTTGTTTTGTTTTGTCTTACTAGTCTTTTGCTTCTATATTATGATTTCTGATTTTGTGTTTTTATGGGGTTTGTTTTTAAGTGTTTCTTGTGTTTTTTTTAAATCTTTTTGTTTGCCTGTTTTTTTTTTTTTATTTCTAAAGAGAGAAAGTAAGGTAATAGAATTAGAGTTGGGGAGTGGAGGAAGCTATGATCAGAATATATTATATGAAATCAATGAGGCAGGTGTCTGTGAATTTAAGTCCAACCTGGTCTACCTAATAAGTTCTGGTCCAGCCAGGACTGCATAATTAGAAGGGGTCCATATTAAAGAAATGACGAAAAAAAAAAGAGCCAGTATAGATTTGTCTAAATGTGTCCTATTATTTATTGGGTAATGGTTGGAAACAGAGATGGACAAAAGGTCAATAATGATCTCCCTACCTGCCTCAGGTTGCTCTCAGAGGAGGAACACTTGATTTTTTGGGGGGGCATCATCTTTTGATACCTTCACATCTTTTGAGGTCATAGGTATTATGGCCCCCATAATCAAGAAGGAACAAGCTGACAGAGGTGTCTGCCTTTATCTGTGCCTACCCCCTGGCTACACTTACTTGAAAAATGGTAGCGACAATCAACATGAGTCTTTAAGTGGAGGCTAGGGGCTTGGAAAATTCCCCTAATGCCCTCCCTCCTATAAAGAGATCTAGTTGTGGGATGGATAATATTATGATTGATAATTCCCTCCAAAGGCCATTTTCCTTTCCTTTTCTTTTTCCCTCCAAATTTAAATCAGGCTCTTTTTCTTTTAAGGTCCCATCGTGGATCAAACTGATGTCGCTCAAGGGAGTCTCATTCTTCACGGTGTAAGCAAAGGGTGTGTTGGGTTCAATTTTTGAGGCATTGGAATCCATCTGTAAGAAGGAAAGAGGGGATAGGGCTGGAGAAATGGCTCAGCAGTTAAGAGGATTGGCTAAAAGCAGAGGACACCGGTTTGATTCCCAGCACTACAACTGTCTATAACTCTAGTTCCAGGGAACTGGCCACCCTCCTCTGGCCTCCTCCATCACCAGACACCCACAGGGTTCATAGACATACATTCAGGAAAAACACTAGTGCACATGCAATTTTAAAAATTAAAAGAGGACATGGAAGTAGGGGCACTGCCTTCAGTTCGGGTCCATTTCTGGCCTGTGTTCTGAGTTGGAGGAGACGACTCAGCATGGCCTAATACATCTCCCTGGGGGACCCTTACTGAGTGTTGGAAGTATCCTTATCTCAAGAGCCAGGCCTCTGCTATTCTCATTTGTAGTTAAATTTGGTCTTAATTGATTCTCCCTGCATTTTTACCTGGTTAATTCTTATTTGCCTGTGCAGGACCCACCATCCATTAAAAATCTCTGGAGTACACAGACATTAAGCCTCACATGTCAGGGTAGTCAGTCAATTGTTAATGACTAGATGAGGGGATCTTGACTTCCTCATTGACTGAGCCTCCCTGTACCCACAGCCTGTTCTTCCAACATCATTATGTCTTGGTCCACATACATTACTCAGCCTAGCTAGGATGCAGTCAAGATTGCTTAGGGTGAATGTCCCATTATAGACATTAAAGAGGGCTGACTTAGGGGAGCCTCTTTGCAAGTTACCATTTGTATCTTGGATTCAAGAGCCTGGCATCTAGTGAAGAAAACAAAAGCACCACCATGAGAACTCGGGAGGAAGTGGTATTGGAGTGCTCTTTCTCTTAGTCCATGTCACAGCATTGCATGCCGGTCGTTTTACTGAATATAAAAGCAAGGGCACTCAAGGAATGGTTGAGCAGAGGGAAGGGCGAATATTAAGACTCTCACCTCAAAGGGGGCCATGCTGTTCTTTATTTTC